GGTGGATGCGCTGTGTAGAAAAGTCCATCAACGTGTGTGTTGTTATCATAATCTTCAAAAATTTAAGTTCCTTTATGAAAATGTTTTATTCTTGTTTCATTAAATCTGTCCTCATTCTCCTTGGTCAGCGTGTACGGGTCAGTTAATCTTAAAAATAGAAACCGATTGCATGGTATTGTTAAAGTGTGTATCAAAATTGCAGGTATGACATTGAGTGATTTAACTTTTCTGAATAAGGTCAGGACTTTTAAAAAGGCCAAGTCCATTTTGCTGATCCTAGCCACCCACTTTTTGAGGAGATTAAGTTGCTTCTGTCTGGCTGTAGATACAGATTGCAAACAATTTGATAAACAGACTTAAAAACGCATTTGTTGTGGCAGCTGTTGGCCTTTTAAATAACTCTGTAATTTTTATGCTGTAGTTACCATCCATGACTCTTCGGTTTAATCCAGTGGGATTTTTAGGTTGGACTTACTGTTTATTTTATTTCTTATTGTTTGTCTGATATTTTTGGGTGGACACTGCTGACTGTACAGGAAATTGCCCCTAAGGGGTAATAAAGATATCCTTGATTTGCAGAATACAGCCGAAAGGACGGTCCCGGCTAGCTCGCCTTCACCAAATGTAGTCACAGTTTTTTCACAAACTGCAGAGCCAAAAATAATGGACTTTGTTGCCTTGAATGACCAGCTGCTCTCTATTGTCAAGGACATTTGATTTTGTGACACATATTGAGGCCTAAATACAGTTTATTTTAAGTAAAGTGTTATTATTTATTCTCAATTTTATTTTCAGTTTTTGGTTTTTGGCCCAAGGTGTCCTGGTTTCTGTTTCAGCCAAGAACTTTCTTTTCAGTACAACGATAATGTTCAACCTCCTGGTTTTCTTGCAGTGCTTGCTAAAGAATTATGATCCTCTAAGAACCAGTTGTGGGCCAGCAGCAGTTTCCCTTTGTTTGACTCGTGTGCCCCTACATCTTTAACCACATGGTATATATAAAGCACATGTTTGGCAGGATTTCATCTCAGTCATGTGCTCACTTTGGCCCACCCAACAGCACCGCACAGCTCCGTTTCATGCATTCCATACATTACTCTGCATGAATGAAGGAAAACAGCCTGCGTGCTCAGGAGACGGACGCAGTCTCACAGAAGGATTTATGGTAGCTGCAGTGTGATGGGGCACGCGCAGGCTGCCATAACTCCCTCTGCAATCTCAAATCCTCCTGCCATGCAGTGTTCATATTGCAAGCCTCGCTGAGCTTTTAGCTCAATTAGATTATCCATTTGATCCAGTCTGGCATGACTGATCCTCCAATCCTGGCTTTTTAGTCCTGCCGTTTACTCTGAGGAATGTATCTCATCTCTGGAGCCTCCTATACACTGGCAGTTGAAACTAATTGCTCAAATGCACAAATGTCACAAACTGATGTTTAGCAACTGTTTTTGATGTGTTTGAAGGCTTCTGTCCTTCTGTTAATAGAAAGGAGGTAAAACAGAAAAATGACTGGATACTCTAACACGACAATGCAACAAGCCATCCTGTTCATAAAGTGAGGAAGCACTTTATGAAAAGTTTTAAAAATGGTATGGACATCTTTGCATGGAGGAAAATTTGCTGTTGTATGTTGACTGTTTTATATGTTACATTCATTTTTTTGTAGGGCTGTCACTCTAAATCGTATTAGTAATCTACTGATCATTTTGACGAGGGATGTGTATTCTGACTAATTTTGACATTGAGGTATCCTTAAGGGTAAAGGAAAGGGTAATGGATTAAATATGGGAATGAAAAACAATGCAAATCAACAATGATTTTGGCTGATGTTTTGGCTGATTTTTAGGTGTCAGCACTGGTGTTGCACACACAATTTGCAACATGAAGAGAAATATATTTTAAAACGTAGGTTGTGTGTTGAATGAGTGAGTGCCTCTTCAGATGAGCTTATAAGCTGCAGAGCTAACCGGTGCAGTACTGGATGCTGCAGGAGACTCCTTACCACAGAACAGGTGGTCTTTTCTACTCAGTGAATGATGTGTCAGTGTTTCTCAGAGAATTTGATTAGAGAAATATATTTTCACAGTTTCTGGAGTGGATCTAGCTAACATAAGCTAGAGTATTTAGCTTTCTCAGTCACATGCTTAACAGCGTGTCCTTAGCAACATGCTCACGGTAATATGTAGCTAAGTGTAATATAATACATACATACCCACCAGTTTGAGTAAACTCACCATATATTGTACTTCTTTTAAACTGTAAATTTGCAATTTCACAGAATTTATAGTATTTTCTTCCCGTGATGTAACAAGTACCAGAAAAGTGTTCTGTTTTTGTTTTGGTGTGTGTATATATATATATATATATATATATATATATATATATATATATATATATATATATATATATATATATATATATACATACATATATATATATATACATACATATATATATATACATACATATATATGTATATATATATATATATAAAATTATTTTTTTGTAACGGCCTTTTAACCACTGATCAAGTAATCTGGGGCCAAACAATAATCCATGCATAGCTTTTAAAGAAATTACCATATTTTATTAGGAATAATTAAATCAGGAAGCCTGGAAATAAAAGTGCATTTAAATGGTTGAGTCCAACAGGTCGTTTTACTGCAGGCTTTAAATTACATGTTACTGTATCACAGACCAGAAGGAGTATGCAAATTATACATTATCAGGCAGTCTGCCAGCTAATTATCACTGATACATCTGATTCATGATTTTTTTCAAATTTAATTGAGTAATCATAGTTGTGCTCTTTTTCTGTTTATCTCTGTGATCATCACAGAACGGCACGTGTAAGCATTGCTTTTTGACAGTCAGTGTATTTAGTCATTCCATCTTAGAGGTTTATTTTTTGTTCACAGGTTTGTTTAAAGGTTTCAGCTCAGCTGTTCAGGATGCAGGCTCTGGTCCCTCTCTCACTGTCTGCAGGGCATGCGGATGTCCGTGTTGTGTGGTTCAGGGATGGGATGTGGGGTGACGGGTGCTCACCTGTTGTGTTGACGTGTGCTGCCTGTTGTTTAAAGGGAGACACACAGAGAAGAACCTCCGTATGGTTCCTGCCTCTCCAGGCACAGACTGTTTCCTCCACATACTATAGCCACTATAGCCCTGCAATGTGAGGACTGGTTTAGATTATCCTGAGGAAGCGACACACAGATGCAGAGCAGTTAACAGAGAACTGCTATACTGGGAATCGTTTTCTAAACAGGAGTGGCCTTGAAAGCTTTCAATGTGCAGCTCAACTCATGCTGTAATTTTGAGCTGAGTTCTGTCCTGTTAGTTATTTCATGTCATTGCTTTCAGCAGGCTGCATCGTTATGTTTTGACACAGCCTATGAGACAGGTTGTATTTTGAAATGAATTCAGTCATTGTATTGAGTAGCATCTTTATTTCATACAGAAGGATTTGTCATAGGCCTCGAGGGCAAATCTTGATTTTGCACACCCTTTTGTGCAAAAACATTCTTTAGATTGTATTGGCTTGTATGTTGTTTGTTATGTTGTCTTCTCAAATTGTCATTTGTTGTCTGTCTTTTTCTTTTTCTAGTAATAGGTGTTTTTAATTATTTGATTGCACCTTAAACCCACAAGCGCTTAAAGGAAAAATTCAGCAAAAAACAAATCTTAACTGTTTTCCACTTATCCCAAATGTAGTCAATCAGCCAAGACACATTTGTTGTCCAAATTTTGCTTATTTAATTTCACATTGGAGCTACAAGACTTGTTGATGTGGTTTGGGGCACAGTATGACTTACTGTAACCTATAAATAGGAACAAAACTCAACAGTGTACATGTTAATCTTAGATAAATGTTAAAAAAAAAGAAACAGCAGAAAATGTGAAGGTAATTTAGAGTCCTTATGCCCTCATGATGCGCATGACCATGAAGGAGAACTGTATTTTGCGTGGGATTCGAAATTTAGCACAACACTTCTTGTCTAACGTGTCTGCCTGCAGTGTTTGGCTACACAGTGAAATTGTATTCATTTTGACAGTTTACAGTAAGTCATACTTTGTCCTAAACCACACTGACAAGTTTGTGAAGACCTGAATGTGGTTTATGCAAGTTGAGAGAGGTTTTGGGGATGTATTACGGAAAAGATTTGGGCGACTATAGGCTTCTAGTGTTTATTAGCAACATTAGCAATGTTGCCTCATGACTTAACAAAAGAAGCACTACACATATCCTTGTTGATCAACTATATCTGGGGTAAGTGTAAAACTGAGTACGTTTAATTTTTCACCAAAACATTCCTTTAAACGGGCAACGAAACTGGCTGGCAGGTCATCATTTAAGGCCTATGTGGTGAAATCAGAAAGAAAATCAAAATGTCATTGAACAGGATCCAAGTAGTAGAAATGAACCACCAAATAATTTTTGTATTTCACTGTGTGCCTGTTTAAAGGCTCAAACATGGTGTAAGCATTTGTCTTTCTCAGTTCTCTTTTTCACTTTCTGCTCCTCATGCCTGCAGTGAAAATATCCCTTTGGCACAACAGACTGTCTTGAGTTTCAAAAGACACAAAAACTTTGTTTGTGACCTGTAATCGAGGGCGCCACTGATATTTAGATTCTGGCTCTGATCATTTCTTTAATGTTTCTTACTTTTTTGTCTCGATTTGTTTTACTTTGTTTATGCTCTGGCAACCAGCTTTTCAGGACTGGCTAACTTAAAGTATTTTTCTGCCCAGTAGTTTACTGTACCTATGTTACAGAGAGCTCACTCAGTCTCAACACTAAAAAGAGCTCAGTTAGAACTAGCTGATGGCTGATGGGTGAAGAGCTTCTTCAAGCCTTGATCTTCTGCACAGATGGACCTGTCAGCCTACAGCAGCGAGGCAGACAAACACCACAGCATTTCATTCTGCTTCAGCACAGTCTAACTCATTTTGTTTCTCTCTCTCTCTCTCTCTCTCTCTCTCTCTCTCTGTCTCTCTCTCTCTAGGAAAGACCAGAACCTCCTGTCTCCAGTGAACTGTTGGTATTTGTTGCTGAATCAGGTACGGCGGGAGAGTAAAGATCATGCCACTCTGAGTGACATCTACCTGAATAACGTCATCATGCGCTTCATGCAGATCAGCGAGGACTCTACACGACTGCTCAAGAAGGTTAGAGCTGCTGCCCCCGTTTCCTGTTTCTCTGACTCTTTCAAGCTGCCACAACAGAGAGTAATGAACCGAACACATAATAGCTTATTTAAAGGAATAGTTCGCAAACAAATTTCACAAACTGCATTCAAGTGTCATCACATGCTTACCTCAACCATGTTGAGTTGTTAGGTAATCTCAAATAGACTTTATGTGGATTTTGTTATTGTAAGACATACTGTTATCTATATTCATGAAGCAGAAAAAAGAGAAACTATCTATTTATGTTACATTAACTTTGAGATGGAAGTCAAGTTTCTTTTATCTATAAGAACACTAGAAGCAAACATCTTGAAGCTTGTCTATTCTCCTTATGATAGACTTCCTTTGCCATTTGGCCTATCTGCGGTTCCTCCTTTCTTTTGTTTGTGTTCTTTAGAAGTAATTCCCACTGTATCCCTCAAATACGAGACATCTGCTCTCTGCTGGTACACTCAGAGGCCAGTACCGTAAAATACCACCCACTCACGGGACACAGCTGACCTCTCTGCAGTTAGTCCTGCCTAAAACTGGATCTGGTGCCTGTTTTTTGTGGCGCGAGCAGTTTCTGTGCCAGCACATCTTCGTCAGATTCGCGAGGTGGGTCCGGCCATATGGCCTATTGCGGCTTATCGTGGTTCTTGTGGAAAAGCTCCCAAAGAGAAGCTCTAATCATGCTCCCCTCCTGCCCATTTGATGTCTGAGGCCCTCTGGCCAAGGCAGCGTGGCTCTTTTTTCAGCCCAGACCACAGACCAGGGACAACTCCCAGACAGCTCATGTGCTCCCGTACGCTGGAGTCACACGAGCTGACCGCAGCACTAAATTACAAGCCCTGAAATGTTGGAGGGAGATGGCTAGTTTCAAGTGAGGGGAGCTGAGGGGTTTCTCAGGCACGTTTGGCCATGAGGCCCTGAGATGGGAAAGAGAAATTCTCTTTTTTGGGATGGAAAAAGTGAAAGAATAATGACAATTTCTGCTTCTTTCAAACAAGGATTCAGTAGCACATAGAGCTAGCATAAGAAGTGATCAGCATGTGATGGTTTGGTTTCTTTAGTAATTTATTACTAAAAGAAATTATTATTACTTGTTACTTAGGGACCAGACAGTCCATATTTTTGCTCCAATCCAACTCACAATATGTAGGGATAGAGCAAAAATTTGGACTGTCTGGGGATCCCTGAGGCGACCAGTTGACCTGTGGAGCAATAATTCAGAGTTACAGAGCATTACAGTGTAAAGTTTGTCATCTTTTAGTTTGAAATATTTTCCTAGATGTTACTGTTTTATATTAAGTGAGCTGCTTTGTGTTTTGACATTTCATATATTTAAATATACTCAGCTGTCTGTAGTCCTGATGTGAGAACTGCTCTGACTCCTCTTACTGTAGCACTGTGACATGAGGGGAAGGTGCTTATTACTGTGTGGGACGTTGAAGGGCTATGACAAAAGAGCAGATGTGCTGAGTGAGTTGCACAGCTGTTTTCAGTGCTGTAAGTGGCTGATACTGTAGCCTAATATTTGGACATTACAGATGAGAAGCTCATGAGTCATAACTCTGACCTACAGCAGGAGAAACTGTTTGTTGACTGTAAAGCAGAGCCACCTTTTAGTCTCTAAACATGAATCTCTGAATTCATAGCCTTTGTCTTTCTGTCACTCAATGTCTTTCCTTTTTTTTCACTCTTTCTTCTGGCTTTAGAAGATTTTAAGATTCCTATTATTTATTCAACTATTATCAGATTATTATATGATTACAAGGTTCCTGTTATTAATTCATCAAATATTTCTGTTCTTGTCAAATTATGGGTAGGCATTTGTACTGACTTTAAGTGTTTGTGCCCACTGAAATGATCTTACTGCACTGCTTGTTTTAGACTAGATGGACCCAGTATCAATTAATCTGTTTCATAATCTCTCTCTATTCTGCTTTTTCTCCCTCTTCCTCTTTCTTCCCCTTTTCCCTATTTTTTTGTCTCTGTTGCTTCCTCATTCTGTCTCCTTGTCTTGCCCCCTCCCTCCCTCCCTCCCTCCCTCCTCCCTCCCTCCCTCCCTCCCTTTCTTTCTTTGATTCTGTCTTTCTTTCGTTCTGTCTTTCGTTCTGTCTTTCTTTCTGTCTCTCTCTCTCTCTCTCGTCTCTCTCTCTCTCTCTCTCTCTCTCTCTCTCTCTCTGTCTCTCTCTCTCTCTCTCTGTCTCTCTCTCTCTCACACCGCGTCCCCCTCTGTTGTGACAGTGCACTTGTACTTCTAAGGGGTCTAGGGTGTTGATCGTTGGGGGATAGTTATTGAGAGCAGGGTTAAAAGTGCTGTGGTCTGTAATCAGCTCTCTCCACTGCCTTTGATCACAACATAGTTTCAGTAATGAGTTGGACACACAGACCCCTGCTGTCACCTCCTCATAGTCTCCGCTGTCACAAACACACACACACACAGCTGCCTCTCTGACACACACTGTTAGTCTTTCCTCGTCTGCGAGAGCAGAGAGAGCTGGACAACTGCTCTTAACGTGACTTTTGAGATCCTGTTTCCAAGTACAATGTTTTGTGGCTTGTTTCGTAGTGAGTCGTCTCTAAAACTGGTTAAAAAAGGGTTTACTTTAAATGTGTGCTTTAATTGTCCTGTGAAAAAGAAAAACAAGTTTGTTTTGGCCAGTAGCTTCTCTTGAAGCAGCAATATTAACCACCATTTCAATTTACCATTATTTTCTACAGAAGGTAAATTCTAAAATGTAGTATTCCTTAATGTAATCTAAAATAGGGCTTTGCATCAAAGGAATGCAAGACCCCTGCAAATATTCATTTCCAGTGTGGAATTCTTTCATGGTTGGGCAGGTTTTATTACATGCATTTTGTTTTCATTATTTATTCGGCTGGCTTTTTCCACACTGGTGGGTTATTTATGGAAGCAGCGGTGCGGTGGGAACTGAAGGTGGATTTTTCCCAGTCCTGGAAGCTCAGTGAAAGGACCTGAGCTTGGAGGCTGAGGAGGGAAGGCTGAGTTACCAAAGAAAAAAAATTTAAAACACCTGAAATCGCTTGTAGTAGCCTCAAGTAACCTCATTTGAGGGGAAAAAAAGTTTATAATTGCATTGGTTTTTAAACGTATAAACTTGCATGCTAAGACATGCATGGTAATCAGTAACATGAACATTATAAGCAAACATGCAAGGCGCTGTGGGCCATGAGGTTCTTCCATGTCTTCTTGCTGTAGTCTGACTGTAAAATAACACCAGGCACAGTAATATCCAGGAAGCACTTAAGTGTCCTTTGTTCTAACGGCTCATTGGGAATGTGGTTTCGCAATTTATAACCCACTGTCATGAAGCATCTGTGGGCTTCTGTATGGCAGTATATTTCACCTGTACTGATTTGTGACTGGCCTGCTCCTGTTAGCGTTCTGCCACTGCTGTATCGTATTCCAACCTTCAGTTGGAAAGAAGGGTTCCGTTGCTCCTTGGTTACAGTGATATTAAAGCAGCAATTCATCATAAAGTGAAATATGCACTTTTTTCTTACACAATTTGTGCTAGGACTCTCAACATTTGAAAACTGATTATTTGTCGAATGAACATTTGAATAAGAATATCTGAGTGGTTCGGAGTTGGAGCGGAGCAGCGTGAATTTGCCCAGAGCATGAAGCAGACAACAAAACTGCTCCAATACCGCTCCATCCCACGAGCCATCTTTTCATTCCACACTGACTACTTCTGCGTGACATGACTGATGTGACTGCTACACAGTGACGTACTATGTGACGTACACAGTGTTTGCACTGCGGAACTAAACAAAACAACAACAATCTATTTTGGCCTTAATTAGAGTTGTTAATCATATAGGAATTCATTCTGAATAAAGTGCTGTCCACTTTTACAAGCTGAATAATCCTAAAAGGTAGAAATATTGTCTTGTGGCAATTGAGGCAACTGAAGGTTCGTATGACAGACTTTTTCTCCGATGTGGATGTTTTGTCACTTCTCCCATGTGGATGCTTTTAACATAGCAAGCTTATATTTACATAGATTTCATAACGTTGCAAAGCAAGTTGCTAGTTAAGCTGCTTGGTAAATGCTGCTACACAGGAAAATAAGTCATCACACACTTGCCTCAAACCATGTTAAGTTGTCAAGTGATCCCAAAGTGGTTTCTGACCCGGTGTGACATGCTGTTGTCTATTAAAATGAACAAAAATACAAAACACATAGCTAAAAACAGTAGTAGCAATGTGAATTTTGTACATAGTTCAGTCCATTTTTATAAATAACACTCTGTAGGTGACTTTATAGACGAATTAGGTTTTTTTTGTAGAACTGTTCCATTAATAGAAGTTAAAATACAGAATGAGTCCACTTTGTAAGTACTGGCCTATTACCTAATTGGTAACACATTATTCAAGTGTGATACATGGTGTATTCATGCTTCACCTAGTCAGGTTCACAGCAGTAAACAACAGGAACACAGTCACCTGCAGGTCCTAAAGTTCAGTGTCCATTCCTGTCCTTCCCCCAACTCCTGCTCCACGGCCAGAATGTGTGACTAGTCCTTAAATAGGCTTAGCCACTTTAGCCCTCCATACGTGTGGCTCTGGAAGTCAGTGTGTGTTACTGGCTGCAGACAGGAGTGTGAGAAGCAGAGATGGGCAGGTGGGAGGTCTGATCTGAGGTCAGCCCGAGGGAAAGGCTGATTACAAAGTGGCGGTTGGCACGGACCTGTGATTAATCTCCCTGCACCTGTTTGCGGCCACATGCCTGGACGGTGCCCATGCTGTCACTGAGAGGAAGTGTTGGGGTTTAGCACGGCTGATTGTTTGGATCTGTCAGAGGCTTCACACACACACACCTGCTAGCACTTTACAGTACCTGAAAATCTGAGTATGTTGGGGGTGTTTAGTTGGATTAGAGTCGTTCTTGACCTCTGTTTGACACATGGTGCCCCTCATTATGCTTATGTTCTGAAACAACAGCTTTAAATTACAGGGTTTAATTTAGATGCCTGAAACAGAATAAAGCCTTTTGGTACATCTGTGTTTAATAGGGATGGAAATTGGAACCATTTTTGTTATGTCTGTGCATATTTTTAAACAAACAGTATTTTTATGACGTCTTTCACATTGGAGTTAAAGTGTCATTGCATTAAAAATCGCACCCACTTTTTTTCATTTGCAAACATAAGTGTGGCAAAAAACTCACATCTATATATAAGAATGAAATACACTGTTTCTGATGTTCAGTACTGTGTTCAATGAATCATTACCTTTGTCAGGCTTCAGTATTGTCAGGCTTAGAGATATCCATAGCTGTAGAGGAGGAATTGGCTTGCTGACTCCTTTACTGACTGAATGCTGGGAAAGGCCTTCAGAATCAGATTAGTAGAGGTATGATTGGGTTAGTGAGAGACTAGAGTAGCCTGTAAGACGGGAAGACCTGACTACGGTGCTGCTTATCCTCATTAGCTGCTGTACGGAGGAACACATCTCCAAAACCTGTGTTAGTCTGAGATTGCTTGCCTGGAATTTCATAAAGAACTCTATTTTTAAGCCTTGGAACTTAGAGACATTACTGTTGTGTTTGTTACGTAGTGAATTACATTTGATTTGCATTCTGTATTGAGAGGGTTTGAATGTACACTTCCAAAATATCTAAAGGAAGTCAAAAATGCTTTTGTTTACAGGCTTTTTTGCATCTCACAACACATGACCATCCACACAATAAAGCATATTAAAAATCATAATTCCTAATAAAACTCTCTACTACTTACAATTTCAAATGTTATATTGGTTTAAAGTTTAGAATCTGCACTTTCAACAGAATCTTCACATATTTTATTTAAAATTAGAGTATACATTTCAGGTTATCATCCTAACTGTTAGACGTCGTTTTGATCTTCCTGCTGCAGAGCGTTTGAAAGCAGAATCTTGGCATATCTGCTAACTTTGCACAGTTTTCAGTTTGTATTGAAGGCCTGCTGTTAGCTGTGGTAGATATTTTCTTTTGATCTGTAAAGCTTTATTTCTGTCAAAATATACTTCACTGTATTACCATGCATATTTTAATTTGTAACAGTGCCTTGAGCACAAAAATCCATCATCTACTAGCAAAGTTGGTGCTCTTGTGAAGCTTAAGAGCGAGAACACCAAAGCATTGCATTATTTGTTATTGTTATAATGTACGTAGACATGAGACTACACATTCATCAGCTCTGCTGGATGTATTCAGTGTGATTGTGGTTGGTGTTGGTGTTGTGCTAAGAGGAGTGTCTGATTGTGTCAGGCAGGCCAGTGTTTGTCTCATTAAGCACCTAAAACAGAACTCAGAACATACACAAACACACCATGTTGAGAGCTTTGTTCTGTTTGATTCGACAAGGATGAGGCAGTTCTGTCAAACCTTCTGTCAGTTACTGTGAAGCTGGCTGATAATGGATGCTTTTTGTTTTTTCTCTCTCCTTTTCTTCCACTCTAGAGTAAAGAAATAGCCTTTCAGCTGCAAGAGGATCTGATGAAGGTCCTCAACGAGCTCTATACGGTGAGTACTGCAATAGTTTCCAGCTCTCTTTTGATAAATACCTGCCTGTCACATCCACCCATGCTGTGCATTTTTTTTGCTAACAATATGTACACACAACACAAAATGGTTCATCAGTTTAACCTACAAAAACTAGTTCATGTGTAACGAGCAATTTAACAGGTTTAACTCAAATAGATGCTTTAAATGAAACAATGCAAAGCAAAATAAAGGTTAGATGGACAAAGGCAGTATTTCACAACAGTTAAAACCTTAGAAACATTTCTAATAGGCCTGTGACAGTATTTAGGTTACCTTTTAATTCATTTCCACAAAGCATTTTTTTCAAAGCTGTTCCTAACACTGAAGCGGATGCAGAAGCAAACACGGTGATGGTGTTTGAGATAGTGTTTGAGATAGTGTGAGCTTAACCTTTGCCAAACAAAATAACAAAATAATTTGGCCACAAGATAGTACGTGTTAATCTAGTAGGAGAGAATGGTATTGCAAAATATCACATAAACTATATAAACTACCATATGAGGCTGTTTTGAATCGGTTCACTTAGCCTGATGCCTTTGTGTCCGTGGCTGTTTTGCCTGATGTCCAAATGTATGAGAGCTGAAACATGACCATGTTTTTCGAAGACCTGAAGCTGCTTTGACTGACGTCTGAAAACTGATGTTATTTTACGACAATGTGTATACTTTACCATAGACAGCTTTTGTGTAGGCATGACATCTGCTGCTGCAACCGTACATTCCACCCCCCACCTCCCACCAAGAAAGTTCAACAAGTGCAGCCCAGCAGCCACATTTCTAGAACAGTCTCATCTATTAGATACAATAAATTTGGGAATACAAGTCCCTTGCTATGACATAAATAAATAAATGAACAATGTTTTGGTGTATTTTTTAACAGTAAATGAGGGCTCTTCGCAGGCCTAACTTCAGATTAGCGTCTGCCCTGTTCCACTTTTTATTGTACACTGCCCATCCAAACTTTGGAGATCTAGCTTTTCTAAAGACTTTCTGAATAAATTAAATATTACAAATAAATATCACCTTAAATATCACATTAAATATAATGGAATTAGGCCTTTTGTCCTTCCAAAATCTCCAAAACTGAAGGAGCAACTGGCAGAAATGCTACCTTGGGAATAATACCATAGCCTATGCATTTAATTGTGGTGTCTTGTTCTGATGTCTCATCAGTACTTAAATCTTTCAGGTATTTAAAACATTTCTGGGCCAGAAGAAAAGAAAACTGTCAAATCATTATTTAGGCAAAATCGGCTCTTTATATATTTTTCTATAAGGTGGTTTGATGAACGTGAAGCTGAGTGTTGCAGAAGATACCTGATTAATTTGTAAATAGTTGTTTTGTGCTAACACCCCTGCTGGTGTTTTTTCTTGCACAATTAAGAAGTAAGAGTGTAAATCAAACATTGAACAATTCACAGAAGGCAAGGGTGGCCCCAAATGGGCAATGTATTTGCATCAAGCAACTTGCAAAGAATGCATAGAAGCCAACAGATGATGTTTCTACACCGTGCTCCTTTCTGCACAGCGTAGCTGTGATGAATGTGCTGAATGTTTGCTTCAACATAGTAGCCTCAGCAGCCTCTCTCCATACACCTGGTGTGTTCTAAGGCATCCGTGATCATATCTCCCAGCCAGCTCTAGCCTCAAGCTACAGCAGCTATGAGCACCACCACACATGAATAACTGCACTCTGCTCCCCACCATGAAGGTACCCGACCACTGCAGGCACTCCTGGCCTGCATGCTCTGACCTTGCTGGAGCACAGTGCTTAAACCAGTGATCAATAGTCAATTCCCCTGCTTTAATTGTGGCCATCAGGCATGCTGTTAGTGCTCTGAAGATTCACGCCTCTCTTGCATCCGTGCAGCTCTGCTAACATGCTAATGTGTGCTGTGCTGTGCTGTGCTGTCCTGCGCTGTCTGAGACACTCGTATAAAAGCAGACAGGCATTTGCGTTTGTATGCAAACAAAATATTTGTAATGTTTTGAACTCGTTAATTATCATAATGCGTAATAATAAAGCAAAGCTAAATTTATTTGTTTCTGTCTGGTTTGTAATGACTTTAGCAAACCTGATATTACTGACCACAGTAAAATATGCTTGCTTTGAGACATGCACAGTCCTGAAGCTCAACACAGCAAAAGAGCACCAAGTCCAGTGCTTTCAAAAAGATAAAAAAAAATTGCAGTTTTCTTGATTTCTTGTTGCGGTCCTCAGACAGATAATAAAACCTTGAGTATCAGCTGATTTTGAGCTGCTATTGTATATTGTAATTGATGCACTTGACTTAAGATGACCTTTTAACTTGCTCACACTGCTCAAACATGCTTCTTTTACTCATTTAACCACAAAATCCCAACAGACCTGTTACTGAGCCCAAGAAAAGGAAGCTCATTCGTTTAAATCTGCCCCTAGATGAGTTGTCTCTTTTGGCAATAAAAAAAATATTTGATCAGTTTCAGCATGTAAAACAGAGCTTTCCATGAGCTCTTATGTATCACTATATGAAAATATACACAAGACTTTCTTTATTGTTGGAAACACTGATTTTTTTCCATGTGAACATGCAAATTTACTTGGCACAGTTTGGATCACTGAGCTCATTTTGTTTTTATCAGCATGACGATAAAGTGTGACTGATATGTCTCATTTATATTCTTGTCTTTTCTCATTCAAAATGGTAGTTTGTTAGACAGACTGAATAGCCACTGGCCTTAAAGTGTTAAACTTAAAATTCAATTAAGAAAAAGTTTTTTACAGTGCAAACATACAAAATTAGACTATTTAAAACTAAAGGAACTGTAAACCTGGTGTAATATTCTTATGTTAACATTACACTACATGTGGCCACTGGTGGTCTCAGCTATGTTGATCTTGATGTAATATTGTGATATTTCAGGCTAGATTTCTTATGGAAACACAACAGATTTGTTTGTTTTTTTTCCTCCTGTATCCAATCCAGCATTTTTGCTGGTATCGGGCCAAAAACTAGGCCTGTCACTATTATTACTTAATCTAATGTTTGCAATTATTTGAGCTGATCACAGGGTGATTCACAGCTGATCCACAGTTGCTAGCTGTTTACATTGCAGTTGTGAATTTGGAGCATTTTATGTGTTGCGTTGAGGCAAATACATGTAAACAAAAAAAGAGGAAACACATTTACTTTTACACATGATGGGTCTCACAAAAATGAGAAACTTCTAACTTCTGACTGGGGCGTTGACACCTTTAGAGGGCAGCAGTGAGTAATGTTTGTTTATTTGAGTTTGAACTGTGTCTGTCGTCAGTTGGGGGTAGAGGCATAGCCAAGGGGTGGCCAGAGGTGGTGAGTACCAACCTAGCGGGAAGTATGGCTGCGCTTCTGGCCACCCCAGGTATGGAGAGTGAGACCATCAGCTATTATTTGTAAAGCAGTCACCCAAACAAAAAGTTGTCATACATAGCCTGTGTGAATTGTTACACTTCACAGTGAAAATCTGCCATCAGGTTCATTAGCAATCAGTTTTAAGAGTCTGATGAGTCTCCATTTAATAATTAATATAACTTCCTGTGATAGGCCAATTTGGCTAAAGAAACGTGGGTGAATGTGTGCGTAAGTCATGGCATTATGAAGTAGGCTATTCAATGGTAAGGTAAGTTAACTAGCAAAAATTAGCTATAGTCATTTATTATTTGTAATTATTAACTACCTGCTTTTACATGCATATGTTGTAGGCTAAATTACATGTAAAACACAGTAAATGAAAGAATAAGTGTGTGCTAAAGCGAGGTCAGCCTTTTCTCTCATTCCATTCCATTTTACAGAGCTATCTGGCTAGCCTTCTTTAGGTTCTGTCTCTACTGTACGTTTATACACCATTTGTTTCTGATTTACAGTTATGAGGTTTGAAAGTAAGAGTCATTTACCTGCAGTCACAGTTTACACCACATATTTTCAGTAAAACTCCATGGCCAGCTCAGAGATGACTACTAGGCAGGAAAGAGCAGCTGTGAATCACAGGCACATACTCAACAGGAAATGACACAGCTGATGAGCAGGGCAGATAAAGTGCTTCCTGTGGACTCGGAGCATTTGATATTGTTAATCAGTCCTTGAGTGGCTGGCTACACGTTCTCCCATGAGATGTCTTGCCCCTGGTATATGAGCTCCCTTCCCTCTACTCTCAAGGTCTCCAGCCTCCCTCCCACTGGGCTTTTCCACTCACACTGCAGCTGAATTGCAATTACTATACTGCCACTGGACAACTCTGATCCATTACAACATAGCGTCTGCTGTGAGTGCTTTGCTTGCATTTGCATACACTATACTGTAGTTTTCAGAAAGACAGCATATATCGTGACACAGTTAAAGCCTGTTGAGCAATGTGTCATCTTCTCTTTGACCTGGTTTAGCCTTTTTAAGAGGAATCACTCCCCCACGGCCGTTGCACCAGAAACCCCATTCAATCAAGACCACAGCTAGTAAAATAACAGGTTTTGCATGTTGCTAAAATGGCTCATTCTAAAAGGAGGAATATAAACACAGTTCCAGCCCAGTAAGAGGAGATCGAGGCCCACAGTTTGGTCAGCCATCTTAACCACGTTTCTAATTATACAGTGCTGGACAAGAGAAGGAGCCAGGATGGCCCAGAGAAACCCTGCTCCTGCTCCATATTTCTACCGACTGTGTTTGTTTTGGTGGCCGTCTAATGGACAGGCTGTCTTTTGAATCCAGTTGAGGCTTTACTGTACCATGCATTATGAGTATAGTGACACGGTACAGTGGTAATGGCTTGGACTGACCTGAGAGAGGGCTATGCTTGTGAATGGAGCATTGTGCTCAGGGGTCAGGTGGACCTTCAGCACATGCCTGACCAACAGTGCCTATGCTATGCTTAATGAAGCAGCTAAGCGAAAACTAAAATACTTGACTCTTTATCCTTCATCTACATTTATCCTGTTATATTTGTTGTACCCTTCTTAGTTTCACTAAAATGTGGATATTCTCTTTATTTCACATACAGTGTGGCAGATTGCTCATTTTTCCCCCCATTCCATTTAAATTAGGGTAAAAAGGCATAATTAACTTCAGTGGTACCTGCTTTGTGTCTTGTGAGTCATATCCTAATGCATGTTATTGAAGTCATCCTAGCGTTACTAATAGCCCACTAACAATAACAATGACTCACGCAATGGGAAACGACTTCTAACAATATGCTCTGCATACTCATGGTTCCATGGCGGGTTTCCTTGTAAGAATAAGCCACTGTTAGCCACAGCTTAGGATCTCTGTCCAATTAAAGGTGTTTGGGGTGGTGTGTAGTGTCTGTCAACATTAGATAAACAGTATTTAAAACTTTCATCTTTGAGAGAGAGGAGACAGTAAAGCTCCATTCTTGCTTCAGCTCTGAAAAAGTCCATAAGATGTTTTCCACTGTGAAAAGACAACTTAACACTCTGGGTCTGAAAGGATGTGTTGCTGTCAAGAAGCTGTTACTGAAAAAAATAAAGAAAGAAAAAGCAGTCCGATTGTTGTCAGAACAATAGACTGGCCGCACCTCAGCATCACTGAATGTATTGTTTCATTTACTTAAATCTTAAGAAGCAGAACATGCAACCAACTTCTAAGACTGAACTTTGGACGTATAGAAAAAAAATCGCCTTAGATTCCTTAAAAAAACTGAGAACAAAAAGAAAAGAAGCGGGTAGTAAAGGCAAAGCGTGGACACACTGAATGCTGAAAAAAAACTGTGTTATTTATTTATTTATTTTAAATAAATAACTCAATGGTAATTTTGACAGGAAATTAAGTAAATGAATGTAGGTCTCTGAATTTTGTTCTCTACAATACATATTTGATTTATTCTGTTTGATTATTTTACCTGTTTTTTCCTTTTTCCTCTTTTAATGTTTTCTTGATTTTTGCTTTTGCTCTTTTTTACTTTTATTCAGCAGATATTTTGGATTGTTTACATTGTTTTGTTAAAGTTGTTTTACTGATTGTTTTCTGTGAAGCACTTTGAGCTAAATTTTTGTGTATGTAAGTATAGCTTTTTCAGTACTTTCAATATCATTTATTTACTATTTTACCTACTCTTTTTGCAACACAGACATCCTAAAGACACTGTAATTGATCAGCGTGTCAGTCCACACCTTATTGGTGACGTGTTAGTTCCTCTCTGCTCTCGGTCCAGATGATGATGTGTTGACTGAGGGTAAATAAAGAGCTCCTCGGTGGCCCATTACAGATATAGGGTTTCGCATATAACTGGAGCAAGAGATGAGAATATCAGTCTGTGTGTGCTTACAGTAACTCTACACTTTAAAGTAATTCCATGCATGGGAAGTCTACCCCCTCTAACCTAAACAGCAGAGATGGCACCTGAAGGTCAGAGAAATGTGTGGGTTTGCAATCTGTATGGAGTTTTCAAGCGTGCAGGCTGTCATATGCCATCATACACATGTGAACATATGTACCTATTCAAGGGGAAGAAGAGCAACACTATGAGAAGTTAACTGATCAGTGTTGAGTGGGTGGATGAAAGCTGTGCACATCTGTCAGGTGGTGCAACTCTGACGCACAGATGACTGAACCTGAACTTTGTTCTTTGACCTCTGGGCCCCACAGGTGATGAAAACCTACCACATGTACCACACAGAGAGCATCAGTGCAGAAAGTAAGCTGAAGGAGTTTGAGAAGCAGGAGGAGAGGCAGATCGGCCGCTCTGGAGATCCGGTCTTCAGTATGCGGATGGAGGACAAGCACCAGAGACGTAGCTCTGTCAAGAAGATTGAGAAGATGAAGGAGAAGGTACTGAACATAATGTGTCTAGAGTTGTCCCCTCAAGGCTTGCCCAACTCCTGTAAGACTTCAAGGAAGTGTTTGTCAAAAAATTGAATTATAAGTGAAAATGTGTTATTATTTTAGAATTTCTAAGTAAAAATAAGTACACTTTCTCTACAGAGAACACAGTTCTGCACATTTTAATGCACAATTAGTGTTTATTTGCTGAATTTAACATATTGGGGAAAACATAAAATGTGGCCTGTGTGAAAGTTAAGGCACAGTTTTTCTTCCAATATTTTAAACACAATAGAAAGTATGCACTAAAATTTACATAAAAATGTCTTAAGTTTGTTCCTTGTAGAGAACGTATTAACATTTTTCATGTAGAGAATCCAAAAAATCTGCAATATTTCATATGACAATTTTTCCCCTTTACTCCAAATGATCAGCCAGTTCATTTTTGGAATTGGCTTGTGTGTTCTCTGAACAGTATGACGTGCTGTTATTCATTGAAATGGACAAAAGCAGTGTCATATGGTGTCAAAGACCACATAAGCAAGTTTTAAAATTACTAATTAAGTGTGTGATCAGTTTACATATCACTGCTGTCAGAACAAAACCTTGCATCTCCATTTTTCATTTTACATAATTTGAAAATGCCTGTTGATCTTTACATTGTGTACATTGTGTAAATTTCATGATAAATGGACCAAAAGGCCCCAAATTACTTGGAAAACATTCTTGGTCCATTGACTTGCCTTAAAAGTAAAGTATGTTTTTTCCTTCTCCTGTAAAGTTACCATTTTGGAGATGCAAGGTTTTGATCCAACAACAGCCATATGCATTGCTTATTGGTGTGGTATAAGCTCCCTTTACTCATTAGCTACATTAGCCTTGTGGCTCAAGTGTGAAACTAAAAAAGATCGACTACATTTGGGGATTTGGGGTAAGGAGAAAGTTTCACTGAACAACTCCTTTAAAAATATCTCTGCGAATGGAGTAGATTCTTTTATTCCTTAGAAATCGGTTAGGCTTATTCATTTTAGGCTTAATCATCTCACTCATGTTATCTCCCCCCTCAGATAAACACAATGGCTGACTCACATGAATGCCGCTTTCCTGGCGTGTCGGGCCATTCCAAAATGTCAGGCCAGCATTTTATGCGCTAAACATGTTTTAGATGGAAACGGTCATCTAAAAGTGTCGTTTCGGTGAGGAGGTCATGCTTTATGCTCTCAGCTGGCCTGTTTTCCCTTAAAGCCTGTGACAAATGGTTTTATAGCTGTGGGAAGAAGCGTTTTTTTTTTCCCCTCCTTTGACGCTTCCTGGAATGCAGGACTGTGGAGAGGTTAAAATATGGATGTCGGGATGAGTCACTGTCTGTTGGTCAGCCAGTCCAGTTGCATGACTAACATGCTTTTTGCAGAGTTAGAGAGTGTGCAGTACAATACTATCTGGGCTGATTTGTTTGTTTGCTTTTTAATCTCTGCACTTTTGTCTCATTAGACTTTTTTTTTTGTCTCTTGGCTTGTTATAGTTTCTTTGATGTTTTTTTGGGTCTTGGATGGTCTCGCATTTCTTTGTTGTCTATTTTTGGACATGAGCATTTGCCAGTCATCTGGCGATGGATCTTATAAACCACAAAGTTTGCACAGACATGAAAGCACACAGCTTTCAGTAAAGAATTATTTTTCTCATTGTAATCTTCTCATTTCTTATGTTCTGTCTGTTTTTTCTCTCCTGTCAGAGGCAGGCCAAGTACTCTGAGAACAAGCTGAAGTCGATCAAAGCCCGCAATGAGTACCTGCTGACACTGGAAGCCACCAACTCCTCTGTCTTCAAGTATTATATTCATGACTTGGCTGACTTAATAGATGTAAGTACTGGAGAAATGCAACCACTGTGTCATTTTTAGTTGAAGACACATTGTGTGACAAGTAGAACAGTTAAAAATGGAGCCTAAGACTTCATGTCTTTTGGGAAGGACAGAAACATCACAGTTGCCTCATTTGCAGTCTGTTGGATTAAATCTACACTTCTGCTTCTGCTTTTGCTTCCACTTTGATCTCAAGAAACGTATATGCTCAAGAGCAGACACGTCTGTCAGATTCTGCTCAAATTTAAGCTCTTAAGACTTCAAACGCAGACGCCTTCAGACAGACTGAGAGAAGTCTTCGCAAACACATTGCACTAAATTGCATTTTGTTTAAGACTCTCTTTCAAAAACATTAGAGCACCATTATTGAGGAGCATTCCCTCAAGCCTTTTAAAGAGATTTTAATATCTCTGTCTAGAGGGAATGATGAGTTTAACAGCATCTGTGTTAAATGAGGAAAAGAGCAGGAGAGTTCAGTTTTGGGATCAGACAGCACTCCAGGAAGGAGAGAAGGGAAATAGTGGTGCTGTGGTCAGGTGGGTGGACACTCACCTCCTTATTTATTTCAGTCATTGTTCTTCTCTGTTGTATGAGATCAGGGCCTGTTTTTCTGTCTCACCAAGCACATTTTGGCAGGCCTGCAGTTACTTTTTCAGTGCCAACTTTCACTATTCATACATATTTAATTTAAAAGGTACCTGTCTTGTTTTTCAAAGTATGCTTGCTCCTTTTTGTGTGTGCATGATTTTTTTTAGTTTGAGTAAAGGAGAAACGTGTCTGCCCTTGAAACCCATTTTTCATGATTTACTTTAGCACATCTTTTAGGTCACGTAAGATCCAGCATAATGCACCGTACTCGCCCAGCAAAAGCCATATACATTCCCAGTACTGCAGCCCAATCAAAGTCCAAGCCTTTGGAAATATTACACCACTTGTCAAAAGTTTGGGGACCATTTTTAAAATAAGTAAGGTGTTTTCTTTGTTGGTTTGCTGTAACTTCAAATATTAATTAAATCTGATCTTAGTATTATTCTTTGCAAAAAACTACATAACTGATGAAACAATTGACAAAAGCCTTGTCTTGAGAGCAAAGCCAAGCTCCACACATTTTATCAGGGATGCACTGAAATTTTGGCTGGTGAAAATTTCCAGCCAAAAATGGTCAAAGTGCACTTTGAGTCCCTCCCCCACAAAAGGATAAAGATAAGAATTAAATAGGCCTACAGTGAAGTGTCACAATGTTCATTTCACTTTTTGTTCCAGTGTGTCCTGAATTTCACTATTGGTTTTGGCCAATGATTTTCATTTTGGTGCTTCGTTATACTTTAATCTCTTGTCATGATCATTCAAGTACTTGAAGTGAAATATACCCAAATTAAATGGGTATAAATAGGTAAAAATGACAGTTTTATGTCCAAAATGGTGCACTATTCATTTACAAGTTAACCTAATAAACAAGTGTATTCTAACTCACACTTCAATAGTTTCTTCTCTGCCGTGTTGGTCAAAGTTGTAAAGATACCTGTCCACTCTGATTGGTCCTCTTCTACATCTCAAGGAATTGTGTAAGAGGCCACTCTTGAGTCCACCTGATTGTTATTCTCACCAAAGGCCACTCTAAGAGTGCGCACGTGAGTGCCCCTTTTAAACTCTAAAATGAGAACAGCCTTGTCAACATGAGCAAATGAGGACTACAGGACCTTAAATGTGCCATTTGAAACTGAGCATTCATATTTGCAGGCATTTTTTCTTATTTCATTGAAAAATAACAGCAAAAATAAAGCATTCCAAACAGAAGACAAGGTGTCTCCAGGCTGTCAGTGTATTTTTCACCTGCAAAACTAAAGCATCCCTGCAGGGGCCTGAGTAAACAGAACTTTTGAATGGCATTCCTGTGTTCTGCATTCAGCCTGCCTCTCTGATGGAGATGGGCAGTGTGACCTTGCCTCAGCATCATGCTATGAGCTCAGATTGAGCCCTCTTCTCCCTGCCTCTACCTGGGTAGCCAGTACCAATCTCTGACTGGGCTGTTTCGTCCAAGATGGAGAGAGAACGAGATGGACATGCTTAAAGTAGTGAGAGCGGATTAAATTCAGCCATCAGCCCTGAGGGGAAGAATCTGCGCGACTCATCTGACTGTTCCAGTGTCAGCATGCACTCCTAAAGCACATCAGCAGACTGATCCCATTCTCACAGACACTTACACTCTGCAGGCCTGTGTCTCTCTTTGAGAGTGTAATCAGTGAAACAGTCTGCAGGCGGAGCACAGCGGGAGCCAGGACTCTTAGTCACAGTGCAATGACAAGTCCCATGTCAGGATCCACAATTTCTCTGTGTTATCTGAGAATATAGCTGCATTGTTATGGAGTTGCTGTTGTATTATAGGAGTGCACTGATATGGAATTTCAACGACAATAAAAATAACTGATAATTAACACCTTGTTGTGGTTGATAGCAATAACTTTACACTTTGGCATTTTAAACATCATAGGCCTTGCCCTTGAAATCAATAACTGCTGTGAAATACATATGGATCATAGCCATTTTTTTTTTCATGGGTTTTTTCCTAACTGAGATTCCGATTTTCTGATCATCCACTGTTACTCTTCTGTTGAGACACAGCAGTACTAATACAATAAATTATAAATTACAACTAAACTCAAATATGGAGACAGAAAATAAATATTTTTTATATAAACTGAGAAATAAAGCTAATTGAGGTGCCTTGTGCAATGTAAAAACTTGTTTCGTAAGCTCTTGTCATACGGTGATGGTAGTTATATTAGGGTGTGGCATGAATTTGTCACCCTGTTTGATTCTAGTGAATGTCTCTTTTTTCCCCCATTTCATTCTTCCAGATCACTGTGTCTCATTTGGCTTCTCCATGACCCCACTGAATCTGAATCAGAGGCAAAACATGAAAATTGTATACCAAGCCTGTAATGTTTTGCTCACTGCTGACAGCCAGTACATGTAGCATAATCAGCATTCAAGGCCAAATACAGATGTACAACACAGAAAGCAGTTACTGTGTATTAGGTCATCTGATGCTGGTCAGAGTCAGGGACCTGCCAGGGCCACAGAGACTGATAGAGAGCATGCCATACTGCATATCTAAGGCATTAAGCATGTCTTACATTAGCCATTTCCAAATACTGTCCTTAGCTGAACTTAAAGGACATAACTGGGCTGTGGATGGTGTTATTAAACCAATAACTTGACTAGTGACTGGTAACCAGTCACCATTGATTAGCATGATGTAATTTGTATGATGATGGATGTTCATTTTCATTTACTGTTAATAACAGTAGCTGTTTTGACTAAATTACACTTACTATGCCTGATAGTGACAACAAGTAAAAGTACAAACTGGTAACTGTATCATGGGGCTTGTTTGTGCTCTAAACGCTAACTAATAAATAAGAAGTGTTGCAGAAATAACCCAATGATGAGTGTGTGTTAAATGTAAGGCTGTTTGAATACATGCTGTGTGTTTTAGTGCGTTTAAATAGTCTATAACACTCCTCTCTCCTCTCTGTGTTTGTTTTGAGCAGTGTTGTGATCTGGGCTATCATGCCTCTCTGAACCGGGCTTTACGAACCTACCTTTCGGCCGAGTATAATCTTGAGACATCTCGTCATGAAGGCCTGGACATCATCGAGAACGCTGTGGACAGTCTAGACCCCCGCAGTGACCGTCAGCGCTTCATGGAGATGTATCCGACTGCTTTCTGTCCTCCAGTCAAATTTGAGTTTCAGCCTCACATGGGAGACGAGGTTAGGTTCACATTTTCTTTCTTTCTCATTCTCTCTCTCTCCTTCTTTTTCTCTCTCTCCCTCTCTCGCTCACACTCTCTCTCTCTCTCTCTCTCTCTCTGTATCTCCCATATCTCTCTCTTTCCCCTTTTCTGTCTGTCTTTCTTTATTAATGTATTTTTTTTCCTTTTTTCTCTTTCCCCTTTCTTTCTTTTTCCTTTTTATTTTCTTTTTTGTCTCTATCTGTCCCTTGCTCTCTCTCTCTGTCTCCTTCTGTCTTTGTCACTTTCCTCTCAGTTTGAAAGCCTTCTTAAACTGTTCCTTAAATCGTTTTTACCTTTATTTGTTAGTCCTTGTATTATATACGTCCCTGCTCGTATTAAGCATGATACCATTTAAAAGACACTTATTGTTTTCTTGTATTTTTGTGTATTGAGTGTAGTGACTCACCTCAAAGACATTTAGTGATTTTTGATTCCATCACCATGCACCAGTGGGTGATGGAAAAATAGTATTAACCACTAACATATTTCACTTCCCCTTACGACCACTCCACCTATCATCAAGTGAAATGCTCAACTAGATCAGAAACCACGTTTAACTCGGATACCCATCAAAGTGCAGAAGGAAAATTCACTCTGGTTCATGCTGACTTTCACATTAACCTCAGTGTTGTGATTTATCTAAACCTCTGATTTAGGTTATAATAGCTTAGTAGTGGACTGAAAAAAGCATGCTAATGAAGATTTGGATTAGATGTGGTTAGAGTGGTTTCATTTCCCAGTTTTAATATGTCTCAGCCACCAGAGCAACATTTACACAGACAGTGTGGAGCGTTCTCACCCTGAAGGTGTTTTTTTTTTATTACTACTTTATTGAATTTTGCTCCCTAATTGGCCATTTTGTCACTGATATCATGTCTTTGCAAAGTTTACAACCAATTGCTTTGTTGGGCTGGAGTCCCGGTCGGTAAAAGCAGATGGGATTGAAACGTGTTTGGCATCCTAATAGCTAACCACGATGATTGTTCCAGGGGTATCTTGTCCTTTCCCTGGGGGGAAAATTGCAAAGAATTTTGGTTGTGATTTAGGGAGAATTATGGGTTGTCTGCAGCTGTGGAGGTTGGAGATTTCAGGGAACAAAGGGACAGGCCCCTGACATGTTGCTCTGTTCCTTCAGGTGTGTCAAATCACTGCACAGCCCCCCGTCCAGGCTGAGCTGGTGCTCAGGTTCCAGCAGCTACAGTCCCGCCTGGCCACGCTGAAGATCGAGAACGAGGAGGTGAGCAAGCCTGTGTTCCTGTCTTACCTCAACTCTAAATCAGTAGTTCTCAACTGCAGTCCTGGTTTGGATGATTTGAATTGAAATAAGGCATGTCTTGTCTGGAATGGAAAAAAAAATAAATAAATAAAGGTTTTTGAGCAGAACTACAAAGATTTTCAGGATACAAGCAGTTGATACTGTATCTCATGTTAAACACAATTGTGACGTCTACACAGAGGTGTATATATAGAAATCTTTGAAATAGACAGATAACAAATTTTGTACCTTGGAAAGATGTGATGGTGTGTTGATTCTCATAAACCCAAAATATAAAGATAAATGACTAAGTCATCTGAATGATCAGGTACCATTTACTTTTTGAGCTAGAAGCTAGCTGCATGCAAGCTTGCATCTGTTTGTTTTGTTCATAATATGCAACATTTTCTTGTTGGGATATTCAAATACATTGTGTTTGAAGGGGAATTCCACTGTTTTTTTAAAAGTTTCATATAATTAATTTGGTAAGATATCAACAAAGTCATTCAGAGAGGTTTAATGTGAATTGCCCCATTCTAGAGAAAGTTAGTCAGAATTTTTCACAATGGTGGTGATAGGAACCAGACGTCTGAAGTGTTTAATGCCTCTTAAAGCTCCTTTGCAGAAAGTTATTGCATTAAATGTTTACAGATACTGAGATACATGACTGAGAGATACATGCAGGGTGTTGTGAGGCAAAATAATACCAAAAGTATGTTTTTTTTTTTTTCAGATTTACCTCTATTGTAACATTCTCAAGACTGCATATAAAAACAGCTACACCGTTTTTTTAGATTGAATAAAATGACTATATCTGCAGTATAGACATTGTGATTACTGGTTCCTATCACCACCACTGTGAAGAATTCCGTGAATAAGTTTCTCTTCAACAAACCCTTTCATGAAACCAGAATTTCAATAAATGGGTGAAATTCTCCTTTAAGAATGTAGATATTTGAATATTAAAATAGTTAAAGGTGTTCTCTGGCTAAAATTAAAAATTTAACCACATCTACTGCTTGCTCTAAACATGCTTGCTCACTTCTTACAGTGGTGTCACAGTAGTCTCTAGAGACTTTTCGGTTTAAAGACCAGGAAACCCCCTTCTGATGATGTATCTTGAAGGTGGGAGAACTTTTGAAAAACTACAAGCACTGATGTATGATGGCGTAGTGTTTTGGATTAATTCTTTTTCACTGGTCAATACAAAATTACTAAGCCAGATAGCTAAAGTTACTGCTAGAAAGCCGAATGTCGCATTTGTATTTATAAGCCTTCATGAATGGTACATCATGGTGAATTTCTTAATCACAGTAGAGGGTACTGCCAGTGGATGTGTGATATTTGCCTAATGCATGCTGGTTTTTGTAGTGAAAGAAGATTGATGAATGAAAACACAAAAGGCAAAAACCTGAATTCTGTCAAACTGATGCGGCTGAGAAATGCTACGCTGCAGAATATTACATAACATTACAAGTAATATATTTAATGTTAATTTTAGGCCTTAATGCCCATTTAAATGCCTAAACCTCGGTAATATGTAGCAACACCTTTTCTGCATCAGACTCGTTACTATGTGTGATTACATTGTGAAGCTCTTGTTGAGAAATCAAAGCCAAGTCCTTGAAGACACATCACATCTCTTTCTGTTGCATCATAATGAGACGGCATTACAGTAGATTTGTGTGCCTAATTGAACTGCCAAGAGCTAATTGTAGAAGAGGCTTTGGAGGGACTGGTGGAGGATAGCTGTGTCCTCACTGCAGCGTTTCTGCTGTCCTCTGGATAACCCTAGTGACGCACAAGCAGGCTCCTCTCAATCACCCCCTCTTTATTTCCAAACTCTGTCTGCTCCTTTTTTTTCTCCCGAGCTATCGTCTGAAGCTCATCCCAAGGCTGTTTCGTCTGAAATGGCCTTCAGACTACAGATGTCTGGACGCCTGCTGAATTGAAAAGGTGGTGGTCAGAAAAAGAGACAGCAGCTCTCTTCTTGTGTTGTAATCACAGGCGATCATCTGCCCTCTTTCTACTCTCATCTCCATTCCTTCATTCTCCTGCTCCACATTCCCTCGCTTTTCTTTTTCTCTGCCTGCATAGAGAAGGCCTTGCATGCAGTGTGGTGGGCAACTGAGAGTATAAAGAAGAACCAAGATAGACTGACATGGAAAGCTTTAGTTGGCAGGAAAACTAGATCGTTATCTCTGCATTGTTCCGTTTGCAAACCAAGGGAGATCTTTACATCATCTTCCTTGCATGTATTTTTATGGTATGTTGCCACGTAAACATGGATGAGGCTGCATGATTCCTGCCAGGCATTGCTGAGTGTGCTGCCGAGGGCCTTATAGTGTGCTTGCAGCGGAGCCTGTCCAGTAAGAGTGGGCGATAAGAGAAAAATAAAACGTCATGATAAATGATGGGTATTGCAGTATTTAGAGTTTCACAATTATTTGTTTTTACTCAACATTTACAAAAAAAAAAGTATTGATTTTAGTGGTGTCAAAGTGAGTGCATTAACACAACAAATGATTGCCACTGCTATTAATGTGTCTTCATAGTTTGACCTTTTGAACCATCACACTGAAGCCCAGCTGCTTGCAACTGTAGCCCCCTTGATCAAATATAGCTACTACTAAGATGTTATTTCCAGCTACTGACATGGTGAATTTGTTTATCACTGAAGTATGCTGAGTCTTAAGTAAGCAAGACATGGTGATGAATCAGCAATACATAACACAGCAATCAGAGTTACCGTCATGGAGGAGTTGGAAGATGCGACTGTTGCTCTCACTCTACATCAGTGATGAAAACTAGAAATTGCACTCACTATATTTATGTTCAGTTCATGTGATGATATTAAAGTAGTAAATCCATCCTGATTTAACTTATTTTGGCAAAATTAACAGCTTTTTAAATGGGAAAAGTCTTTCTTTATGATTAAATTTGAGCAAGTAAGACAAATGTGATTCATCACAATTGTCTACATAATGCGGTAAATCATGATTAATTATGTTAATCATTTGACAGCCTTAATCCATTTATGTACAAGAGGAACAGCAGGAAAAATTAAACAATTGATGAAAATAATTTAATAAAATAATGGCATAATGGGCTGACATCTAATCAGCTGCTAGATATTGTTCAGTTAATATATGCTGGTTGTTGTTTAGGTTCTGACAATGCCCGTGACTCAGGAAAGTGCTTTGTGATGTAATTTATCACATTAATGATAGCATATCGTAATATTCCCCACCCTTACTGTCCAGCTTGTTTTTGAGAGATGTGGGACACTAGGTTCTTGGCAGTCTTGTCCAGGATGGGCTTTTGAACTGTGTGTGCTATGGGGATTGATGGCCTGAGCTGCTGTCAGTGCTCGCGCAGTGACCGGAGCCACGTCCAGGAAGAAAAGCCGATTGAGAAGCACCACAGTGGGCCATGGTCCTTTAGAGACTGGTTCTGCAGAAGCACATGAGGATGAGATATGAGGCCAGGGCATTTCCTGTAGTGCTGAAATTGCTGAGGGCATCATGGGAGTGTGACCGCTGGTCAAAAACAACTGCAGTGGTCAGGAGATTAGCACACTATATCCCGGATGCAAAGCAAGGTCTTCTCTAGCTGAGACTTTTTTTTTTTTCTTTAGCTTTTGCACTGAGTTGGTGCAGCTGTTTCCTGGAGCCTGCACCGCATTACAGTGCACAAAAAGAGAGAGCAGCTGATGAATACTTTATTAGCTTTACTGACAGTCTCCATATACCACTCACCCAGAGACATGCTCATGTACACCTTCAGTAGAAAGCAAGGAAGACATTGCTCTCGTCCCTCAGTGGACTTTTTATCTCACTCATTCATACATGTTCTGTATTCCTCTCTCGTTCCGTTTGGTTTTTTTTTTCCCCGCAGAGCTAATAATTTAATGAAGTACATAGTGTTTGCTAGAGAGATTAGAGATCAGTGAGAGTGATGCACACTTTAAATCACTTGCTCTCTCTTTCTGTCTCTTTCTCTTTCTGTCTTTCTATTTCTTTTTCCCACCCTCCCTCCATTTTTCTAATAGATATTCTCTCAGCATTTCACAGTAAAACCACAGCAGTCCAATCCACCACTCTCTGTGGGAAGTATCTGTTTGTTTTGCTGGAGATAAACCTCAGGGAGGCACATCAAAGCTGAGGAGATGTATGCCCTGAGCCTACTGCCGTGTGAAATCACTGATTGCTGATAGCTCGTCTAACAGTTAGCCCTCTGCTGTTAAACGGACCGCTAGACACATTAACACACGTTAGCACCAGTGCTCATCATAACAACGCTCTCTGCTCATCTGGTTATTCTGTGGGCTTCGTTTCTCACATCGAATGAACTTTTTAAAAGCCCTGGTGTAAATAGTGCAATCTCTGTGTCAGCAGAGCTGATATTGTAATGAATTATACATTAAATCTAATGGTTTTTAAGTAGGGAGAGTTCGTCTCATTTGTGTAAGGTCTCTGCAGTGCAGACAGTTGGGAGTGTGATCATAACTCGCAGGAAGAAAAAACAGCAGTTTAGAATGTCCGTAATAGTCAGGAATTGTTCAGTTAAAAATTTACGTGCATGAAAGTTTTCCTTTAACCCTAAAGCAGCTGATCAGCCAAGTCATGTTTGATTTCTGAAGTTTGCTTCTTTAGTTTTGCACTGGAGCATATAACCACCAATTAGCATCATGAAAATTGCATGAATGAATAAAGGTGTAATACTTTGACTTCCACTCAAGTACACTAGTGAATAAAGGAATCTACTTTGTACCCTTTCATATATAGTTACAAATTCATTTTATGTTTAATTTCATTCTGTTTTGTTGACTACATCTGTACTGTTTTGTGTTTGGTCACATTTCTGACTTTGGAGCTTTAGCATTGTATTTAAGAAAACATAAGAAAAATAGAGCCATATCAACTTCATTTTCTGTGCTGATAGATGCTGGATGTTCTAAGGAGTTCCACTGCAGTTTTGTACGTTACTCAGTACTTTTGATCTGATGCTTTTGTACTTTTAGCAAATTGTTTTACAAAAATGTAGCTACACTTAAAAACACATTTTGTTATTTCAGAAAGAGCCGAGGGACATCAGTAGTTTTTTGTGTTTGGTAACTGAAGCTGCCTTTTAGAATTAAGCTAATAAGCTAACCAGTGTCACTGTATGCTGCTAAAGACTCATTTTCTTCTACACATGGAATGTTCTCCTAAGTGGGTGATGTGTCTGTATGTATATATTCTCGTTATTTCTGCACGTGGCCAACGTCTACCAGCATAGCTAGCCTTGTTTCTGTTACATCTGCCGTCTTCATCACATCCTTAAACGCAACACACTCACATTCAGGCACTCGTGAAAAATAAAATGAGAAGTTATTATTTATCACTGCTTGATTTTTGCAAAAAATGTAATATTAAATTAAACATTTTAGAATACATTATGGTGTCTAGCTCGTAGTATCTTTGTATATGTTATTGCATAAAATAACATTTTTGATTATTGTAAGTGATTCCAAAATTTTGAATGCAAGTGTATGTGTGCGCGTAACTGTGTGAAACATGTACAAAGACAAAACTTCCTTCAACAGTATTTAGCCTTAATGACAGATTATTTACAGCTCTCATTATTGTGCTTTGAGGGACTGTTTTCACACTGTCTTAAAAACATGCCAGGACTTCTTCATGCTCTTCATCAGCTTAAATGCCTTTTATTTTCTCTTCTCTAATGGTCTTGCATGAGAGGCACTGCTGGAGGCACCACAATCCTCAGAGAGTTCAGTTGCACAGGATGTGATTGATTGAGTTTAAAAATCTCTTTTTAAAGTGGCTTTGCGAAGCTCTTTCATTTGACACGCTTGATATATGTGAAACAGATTGATTTCCTCTTTTCTGGTGTTTTTCGGCCTGTTCTGGCTTGCTGGGGTTTGCCCTTGGTTATGGACAGTTTGAAGCTTGCCCTCCAAACCACATCCATTTACATTGCGTACACAAACAGGTGTGGCAGCTCTATGGAGGAAATCATTACTGAAACAGTCACTGAGAGCTGAAAGGCAGAGGAGTCTGAGACATACGATTGGCTTTCAGTGTGTTCAGGCTGGAACAAAGGCAAATGAGTCATCCAGGTTGAAATAGACCAGTTACGAGACAGCCGTGATCCATGGTGTTTGAGATAGGGCTAGGCTACTGGTCTCCATTAGCTTTGAGGTCATCCTCCATTGATTCATATTGGAGGAGAAGGCTTTAGGGCGCGGCTCAGCATGACCCTCAGGGTTAATGGGGGGGTATGAGCTCACTGTGTGTGCTGGAACACTGCCGAGGCCTCACACTGCCCATAAAAACCTCATGCTGCTGATGGTCATAGAGCTCGGTGGTTTTATTAATCTTTCACTGAGGCAGAAAGGCTTGCATGGATTTTATTTGAGCTTGAGCTCGATAGCCTCTTAACACTACTTGTGTATGTATGAGAGAGAGAAAGAGAGATTTGCTCTCCTGCCTTTCTGCATTGAGCTGGTCCAGAAGGCCAAAACCTCGACTTTTTTTCTGTCTCTTTTCTCTTTCCATCTCATCTGTTTATCTATCAACTAACTGCAACTAACAATAAATTCTCTAACGGGTTAACCTGTCAACTATTGTTTTATCAGTGGATCTATTAATCTATCTGTTATGTCACACTGTCTTTGCATATTGTCATATTTTGACTGGAGTTTAATCCTCCGTTCGGGCGAGCACCCTATGCTATAACAGTAAGAGTCCATGGGCAAGACTCCTAACACAACCTTCGCCCACCTCTGTAAAATTATCAAATTTTAAATCACTCTAGATGAGAGTTTCTGCCAAAATGCCAGAAATTACATGAAAATCACTGATGAATGGACCAACAGAAATGCCCCAAAATGACTTAAAATAATAACATGAAAAGTTAAGAATGTTTTTCCAAGTACAGTAGAGTTTCCATTTTGTTCCAACAATGTCGATATGCTGCATGTAGTTACTTTTGCGGGTGAAAAACTTTGGAAAGTCAAGATTTTGCCCTCCATCATTTAAAGTGACATCTGTGCAGCAAGCAGTTTTTTCTTTTATGGGGTACAAAACAATAAAAGTCGTAGTGGGAGATATACCAGGTGTATTAGTAGAAATTGTTCTCAAGGTATTTGTTTTGTCATAATCTTCATACTGGTACACCACAGAACACACAAACGTTATTCAATTTAGCTAAATGGCTGAGTTAGGGGTATTTCAGCAAGCCATCATTTTACACACAATTTTCTCTATTCAGTTTTGGTCATGGCTAATTCCGTCCACTAACTAGGTCTCCCACTATCACACAATGCTACCAAGCTACTCCAGTGTCATTGGGCTGTGGCATCTAGGGATCAGACAGTTGTGCCACTTGGGATCCCTGACTGTAAGACCCAGCAGTGTGTGACGGTCATAGATGTAAGCATGAGCATGCACATATAAGAGAATTGACTTGAGAAATTCGAGTATGAAACAGCACTGTTTTTGCTAAGCCCAGAGAAGCCATGGCATACTTATCTGCTTCATAGGTTTATCTGTGTATATAAACACACTATACCTTCATATATACCAAAACAGGCAGAAATTAAAATTTTTACTGTGACAAATTTTTGGCAATACTACCCACTGCAAAAAAGAAGCCATATTGCAATCATAGAGCTTCTTATACTTTACTGCAGTCTGTCTGGATGACCATGTATATGTTTTTGTCTAAACATCACGTGTGAACATTATTGAACATTCATTTTCTCTAAGTAAACAGTGCATTAACCTTTTTCCATAATCAGCTTTGTCATCTCGTGGTTGCTATACTGTAAGATTAGTTAAGCTTTGTTCTCTATATATGGTAAGAATTTTAAACCCAAACCTATTGCATGTCTAATAACTATTAGAGAGAATACAGCGAGCCTCAGAGGACTCATACCAGCGCTGTTCTCTAAAACTCAGTCTGATGGGATGCTCAGAAACAGTCCTTGACATTTATAAGCTTATGGAAATGCTGTGTGGCCGGCAGAGAAGTGGCTATGGAAAATGAATTCTAAAAGCCTGAATGAATAACATCCCTCCCAGGCTTCCCGTGCTCTCCAAGTGCTGCAGATTGATTGCTTTGGTCTGGTGTTGTGTTCAAGGTCTGATGCATTTGTCACAGTGAACATGGCAGGTAGGGACAGTCGGAGAGCAGAGAGGGGGCTCTGAATATTCTTGCATATTGTGTGAGCTGCTTAGGGCTGTGTTTTTTCTGTTGGCTCACCTCTTGTGTCACGACACAGTGGTTTTGACACCACACTCCTGACTGCATCTGGATGTTTCTTTTTACTCTTATTTTCTTTTGAACTACACTTGAACTTGGTGCTTAGTAGAAACATCTGAACAAGTACTTTTTATTGTTTGTCCACCAGGTATTCTTTTTCTGTTGTGTTACTCAGCCTCGGCTTTGATTGTTTGTAGATTAAGAAGACCTCTGAGGCCACTCTGACCACCATCCAGGACATGGTGACTATTGAGGACTATGACGTCTCTGAGTGTTTCCATCACAGCCGTTCCACAGAGTCGGTCAAGTCCACCGTGTCCGAGACATACCTTAGCAAACCCAGCATCGCCAAGAGACGTGCCAACCAGCAGGAGACCGAGCAATTCTACTTTATGGTGAGGTGGAATTCATCCAGTGCTGTTCTCAGTCCAGTTAGTGAGATCAGATCCTGCTTTATTAGCATTATAGGGCAGTCGACCAAAGAATGTAGTGCCAAGTCATTTCCCAGTGTCGCTTAGAAGACCATGCTCAGTGGACTTCAGAGCAAATTGAGAGATTTCTTGAATGTGCTTTGTTTATCACTTTGCAGCCTTGCAGGCTAATGTCTCTAGCCAGAGTTTTTATTCCATTGGTCTCATGCTGGGCTTCCTTTTGTGTTTTCCAGAAATTTCGTGAGTTTCTGGAGGGCAGCAACCTCATTGCCAAACTTCAGGCCAAGCATGACCTGCTGAAGAGGGCACTGGGAGAAGGTAACCATCACACAAAATCCAGATGATGGATTTTACACATGCTTCATCACATAGCTTCATTTTGTAATGAATAAAAAAGATTTTGTAATAAATTAAAAAAAGATGATTACTCGATTATTATTACATTACAATAAATGATTACGATGATTACTCGATTTTCATTGAGTCAGCTTAGAAATTAAATAGCAGTTTGGGTGATAAACAGGGTATCTGCAGGTCAATATAAAGCATTATTCAGAAAAGTCTAACTAGCAAAAATTTGTATTATTGTGATAGTGCTCAGGGTACTGCTGCAATAAACACTAATCTGTAATGGTATGACACGTTCATTAAATAACTGAATCAAAGCAGCATTACAGACTTCTCAAAATGGCATTTTGGATGTTTCAAAATGCATTAAATTATACTTGCTGATACCTGCAGTTTGTCTAATATATAGAAGCATTTTTTATGCTTTTTTTTAACACAGTGTTTTCTTCATATATAAAGTGTTTTCAGATCGAAAAAGTGTTCTGGAAGTGTTGAAAGTTAAACCCATTTTTATATATTCTTTGTGTGATCTCAAACAATTCTCAATTAATTTTCAAAATAATGTGTATATTACATGTTGATATATTGATTATATGAGTAATCAATAGTGACAACTAATACTAGCTTGATTCATACAATAAATGCTTTGCAAAGAAAGAACACATTAACCAAAAAAAGAAAACTAATAACAGAAGTGCTAAAATTATAATGATTAATAAGAATTCTGATAACAGTAATAGTAAAGCTTGGTCAACTTTAGCAAAACAATAAATGAATAAGTAAATAAATATATATAATAAATAATATGATGTATGAAACACTGTCAGGTGGTAATGCTTTCATAAAATTTTGAAATCTCTAAACTAGAAGTGTATACTTTAAGATACTTTTTGAATTACTAACTGAGAATACTTGACTAGGGGTGGACAATATGATGATATTTTTTCGTTATCGTAATTATTTTTGTTGTCATGATACACAATATGCTTTTATGAGCATATCATGGATATTGTCAGTAATGTAAGTGCACTTACAAACTGCATCAAACATCTATAACTGGATTTAGTGCAGCAAAGTATGTGAAATGTTGAATAATAATCATTGTATTCATAGTTTTTCATAGTAGTTTTTAGATGCAATACCACTAGCATATTTTGTGTGTCAAAAATGTAGTGGTACATATTGTATATTGCAAAAATGTCTTTAACTAATGTGTTGTACCATTTTTTCCATATTGCCTGCCCCTATGCTTGGTGTATGGCTTGTGGGAGGGAATTCCAAAGTTTTGGAATTTAAACACTAAAAGCAACCTTACTACTTCTTCTGCAACGAAAATGTTATGCATTTTTACGCATTGCACAGTATTGTCCCATTTTTAGCTTAAGAGTTAAGATAACTGAGAACAGAGAGCAAAATAAAATGTCAACAATGCTACATTTTGATCAGTTTTTTAAAAGAAAAAATGTTGTTACCCCTCTTGAACACTCCTCTTGTTAGATAATAAGCCTCCAGCGTTCCACCACACTGTTCTCTACACTCTCCTGGCAGGTCCAGAGCTGTGCTGCAGGCCAGGCTGCCCTGGAGCGCATCACAGATTTAGTGTAAACACCCAGCCGCTGCTGTCCAGGCCTGCACTGGTGGGAGCTGCATGGGTGGGCTGTCAGTGGAGTAGGCATGTTCAGTTCCTGCTGTCCAGCCCCGGCCTGTCTGCCTCCGCAACCGTCAGTCAGGCTCAGGGGTATGGAATCTCCACAGAGCCGACCCTGCAGCTCACTGCCTGAGTCACGTCAGGCATGTCAGGAGAAAGCCGCTTAAGACCTGATGGTTAAAAGGCTTCAGAAAGGGCTGAAAGATGGTAGTTTGAGGAAGTTGAAAGTTTAAAATAAACTTCAACTTCAAACTCAGTAAGGTGTGAATGCATGCGTGTGCCCAGATTTGAGCCAGATGGCTGACCGCATATGCTTTGCCGAGTGTGCATTCGGCCGAGGCATTCTAGCACACCACTCACTCTCTTTCTTTCTCTCTCTCTCTCTCTCTCTCTCTCTCTCTCTCTCACTTGTCTTTGTCACTCTCTCTCACTTGTCTCTGTCTAGGTCACCGAGCAGAGTACATGACCACAAGGTAAACTCATTCTCTCCCTTATTCACCATTTTAAAGGCATTTTTTTTCTAAGAACGGATTGAAGGTCAGCGAGCATGTAAGGTTGTTTCAGTAAAGTGCAGGCTTTTGAAAGAGCCGTTTTGTTTTTTTAGTCTTCCATTACTGTTATTGACTTTCACATCCTTTCTCCTTATAAAATGCTCTATGACTTTTATTGATGCATGTAGTGTTGTTTCAATATTAGAATGTACAATGCAATCATGGAAACCTTTTAAGGGAGAAAAAAATCATTATTTGCAGCTTTGCTTTGATACACTTTAAACTTTTAAAAAGTTGACCCTAAGTTTAGTAAGTTCAGCAGATGTATTTGGACACCCATGGTTAAAAACAAGAAAAAATCGTCTCCAGCCCAGTGCAGTGGGCAGGAGCAATACTCTGGTCCCTGGGGTTCCGTCCCTCAGTCCTGTATTGCACTGCACCACCAGAGCTCTTTAGACTCGACTTCACTCAGAAATAGCGAAAGCCTTCAGGACATACTTTGTAAGCAGATGAAAACGCTCGCTCTCCCGCTGCGATCGAGAGTTTGGCTGCGTTGTTTTAGACACTGAAGGTGACAGTGATGTGGCTCTGAAGGCGCTGACTGAATGTTATTCATGCTAGAGAAATACTTTCTCCTTTGATGAATACTTGTGTTGTCCTTCTGTTACTTTATCTGAGTGTATAGGAAATTCTGACAACTCTAGCCTGTCTCAGTATCACAATAAACAGAGAAAGCAATCAGTCATATCTAATCAGTCTGTAAGGAAATACTAACTGCATGTTAGCAAGGTAAGTATGGACAGCCAACCAAATTAACTTGGATTTGAGGCATTTTGTGATTCTTGATTAGTAGCATGTTCTTAGTTGCAATAAAGTGATCGTTGGGCAAAAATTAAATAGATATCCCTTATGTAGTCGATCGGCCATGTCAAGTTTGGTGTCTGAAATGTGCTTCTTTAGTTTTGCAATGGAGCTGCGAAGGTATTGTAGCTAAGTGAAGGGTGCAATTAGCATTGTGCAACCTGAATGCCTAAATAATCACGCAGTTGTCTCGAACCATAGTAGCCTTGGGCCAATAATTGATATTATAGAATGTTGCGGTAATTTAATGTAATAATTATTGTCCTTTTTAACACCACCAGCTTATTAACTGCACATATACATACGTCATATGCAAAAGTTTGGCCGTCCCTAATCAAATGACATATTTTGTTGATTTTCTAAGAACACACTTCTGCATATTTCAGAATAATGTGAAAAAACATGAAATGTGGCCTGTGCAAAGTTATGGCACATTTTTTATTATTTGTGTTTTATTTCTTTTCCAATGTTTTAAAGTTGGGGAATAAATAGAAACTGTGCTCTAAAATTTGGTGAAAATCGTGTGTAGTATTATGTGTGTTCTCTGTGTTGTGTAAGTGTTAACTTATTTTCACATAAGTTTAGGTGATTTGACTAGGGGTGTTCATACTTTTGCATACAACTATTTTGAATAGGGGTATTCAGACTTTTGCATATGGCTGTATTTTGAACACCACTTGGAAGATTATAAAAAGGATGAATGCACCAGTTTGGCAGTATTTTGGTTTCTAACAAGATAAACGCAGAGAACCACTGGATATTAACAGTGTTGCATGACATTAATTATCATAAATTATTAAATAATATTAGAAACTAAAACAATTATATAGTAATCACTATCAGGGAAAATGCAAGCTATAGAGTTAGACTCTAATGCTCAAATGTGGCATATGAACTGAATTTTGGATCATGATGATGTTAATTGTAATAATTCTGCAAATAATTCTGATCATTTGTCTAATTTACATTACCGTCCAAGCTTTTTGCGTAGCTACAATCAGTAGTAGCAGCCATGGTGAAACCTAGATTCGTACAGACTGTTTTTAATGTTTATTACTAACAGTATGTTTCAGCAATAACAGTGCATCATCAGAAACCACATAGTGAAGTCTATTGAGAATAAATAATACCTTGATGTATGTTTTAGGCATGCATTTATGCACAGTGCTAATTGGTGTCCATAAGCCACCATTTCTTGTATCATTATTTGAATGCTTACTAAACCGAGGGCCTCGTGTCAGTGCAGCACAGCCACCTTTCTCAAGCACTCGTGCCCTGGGGCTTCTCTTCCACACCATGCGTCTTGCTGGTCCCAGCAGGCCTGGTATTTCCATGGCCTTTGATGTGCTGTGGAAGTGAGGTGTATGGACAGGAGATCGGTGTGTTCAGTTCACTAAGCTGGGATGTGTCCAGCCCTGCAGGAGTCCTCTTGCACTGAGCAGCCTTAAAGGGCAAGCCCATGCGTTATTCAGAACTTTAGTGTCATGTTCATGAAAAATAAGGGCTAAATGTTTTTCTTTGGCAGGTTTCACAGTGTTAACTATGAACTTAAACCGATTCATCAGTGACAGAGTTTTAAAATGTCGGAAGTGCCAACATTTCATATTGTGAATCATCATATGTCTTTGTCTGTTTTTTTTTAATGTTAAGGGCAAAGTATATGTTGCTGTGTTTTCAGTGTGTATGTGTGAACTTCTCTCCATGTCATAGGCCTCCAAATCTTCCTCCTAAACCCTATGGCACCCGGAGGCCCAGACCTCGCTCAGTTTTTAACGTTAAGCTATTTAATGGCAATTTGGAGGATTTTATTAAGGTACTAAAGTGCAGCAGTTAAAGCGGTACATGTGCCCAGTGCCGTCTGTGTCATAATGATCCCAATAACTTGCTTTAGCCTCAACTTTTCCGGCGATCATTATGGTCTGTCCATTCAGTCTCAGTGCACACAGAGTCCTCAAACAGGAGAAACACAGGGCTGTGTGTGAGTGGTGATTGGTGTAGGGCCAGACTGATAAGAATATATATATATTTTTGTCCAGTACTTATATTTCAGTCTGAAAACTCCAATACGGTGTAATGTAATATAGTTTAATATAATGGAAAATGTTGATAATAATAATAATAAACGGACAATAGTTAAACAGGCCGCCACTGACAAATATAACAACTAATTACTGTGAGATGTCAAATATGACTGTTAGTTGTCAGTTGAAAAATTTGTCATTTCAAATAAGCATCAGAAACGCACAATGATTTTAATACGTCTTTAACAATGTTGATATTGCATCATGGGGCAGAGCTTTCCAGATTTACTAGCAAAATTATTGGTTTCACTTCATTAATTTTTATTCATAATTCCTCTTCACAGAATGATTCTTATTATTATAACTGGGGCTGATCCAAACATTATTATACAGGCTTCAAATACTTGTTGATATGAGTACTGGAATACTGATTCTTAAAATCACCTTTAAAACAGTATTTGAAGCATTTTTAATGCTTCTGTTTTAACAGTATTTCAGTTCACACCAGCAGTATTAGAGGAGAATCTTATTCCTGCCGGATACAGGACAGCCAATCAGAGCTGAGGTCTTTTATCTTGTGTCAGTCTTAAAGGCATAGTAACAAAAACAGCCTGTTTAATGCAAAGAAATAAAGAGTGGTTGGAAGTGGGCATGTTAAAATGAATAATAAAGTACAAAGTACAAAAATGTAGGATTTGGCTCTTTAAAGTGCTCCCACAAATGTGATTTGTTTCTGAGGCGTCTCTGCTCTTTTAGCTTCAGTGGAGCTGCAGTGCCTGGCATTTATGTCTGGCATGAATTTATGATATGTTTAGCTAAACCAACTACAGTGCATTTATCATTTGCCATATACTGACAAAAATTATTGCAACTAAAGACCTTTGCTGATTAAATTTATTTTAGGCTACTTTTTTGTGGCTCAAAAGAAACAAAACATTGAATACTAAATAGAGAAGCAAATACCAACGTACCAGATGTTGCCAATGACTGACAAACCCACAGGACTTTAGTATCAGCTGATACTATAAGCCAACCAGCCTATACGTTTGGCCCTACCGTGGTGTATGTGTGTGTGAGAGATTTGATATTGTGTGCATGGTGAAAACAGAGAAAACAGCAGTGCCCCTGAGTTCTCCCTTTGTGAATTTGACTCTGCTAGTGCCTTTGGCAGACTGATAATAGCTTTGCTGTTGGTGGCTTGTAGTGCTGGGACCAAATAACTGGGATTTTGCTCCTTTCTTTCTCTCTTTCTTTTCTTGCTCTCTTCTTTGCTCATAGCCGTGGACGGCGGAACTCTCACACCCGGCATCAGGTAGAGACTCTGATTGTAGTGCTCTGTTTGGCTCATGTCGCCTCTCTGTCTAAACCAACATCCTCCTGCCTTGCCCTGCCCTCTAATGTGTCCAGCATGTGTATGTAGGTGTATTTGTGTTAATCATGACAGAAGAGTCTCATAGGCTTTACAGGCCCAGGTATCAGTTTTACCCACATTTAAATAACTTTAATATAAGCATTAGCAGAAAGTAGCCCAAGGTGTATGCTATTCTTTATATTTCCCCAGTTTGCATGGGATGGATGTTACTTGTAATTTGATCAGGTGTATGTTTATTCATGCTGTTTCTTTTTGTTTTAGTTATATAAGCACCCTTAACTGGGTCCCTGTCAGCATCATATTAAAAGAGAGTGGGTTTGATCTAGTTCAGGTGTTGTATAAATCAGACTAAATTTAGCATATAGATAGTAATTATAAAGCACTAGCAGACCTCTTGATATTTTGACAGATTCAGGTCAGAATAATTCTCTGGCTGGATCTGTCGGAGAGTAGCTGGTAAATTCGGTGCACACAGGCCTGTCCCTGGCACTGCTGCAGCGTGCAGGCCGTACACACTCCCTGGGTTAAAAGCAGATCATAGCATTATTAAAAGCATGTAAGAGAGAATCCAGCCAAACCCAGAACAAACAGCCCTGGCTCCAGCCAAAAGGCAATCTGATCACAGGATTCCCACAGCTAGCAGGGTGCTTTCCAGCAGGCAGTAGTGCTCTGCTGACTGGTGAAGAATACATAGTCTTCTTTTCTGTGCACACTGACATCCTCAAGACTTGTTAGCGTAGCTTTTTGTGTTCTGTTGATTTGTTTAGCCCAAGCTATTACCATGCACAATGAGGCGTAGAATTAGATATGTCCATTCATTATGTTCCCAGACACATTAGAGTCAGAACTTTATTCTGAGCTGAATAATATTACCCTCCCTGGGTCTGTAATCCTTCAGCTTCATGGAGTCTTCTGTCAACGACTAACAGTCAAAACATACAGCATGCATAATCATTTAACCCTTAGAAGTCTGGTGTTATTATTACTGTCATTTGCTAAATTAAAGGATTATGTAATTAAATAGTTTGATTAATTATTAAATTAACAATTAGTATATTACAACCTACAACCCCATTGCAAAAAAAAAGTTGGGGCACTTTGCAAAATGGAAATAAAAACAGAATGCAATGATATGCAAATCATTTAAACTCTATATTTAATTGAAAATAGTATAAAGACAACATGTTGAATGTTGAAACTGAGAAATGTTATTGTTTTTAAAAAATATATGCCCATTTTGAATTTGATGCCAGCAACATGTTTCAAAAAGTTGGGACAGGGACAAAACAAAAAACTGAAAAGTTGTGCAATGCTAAACACCTGGTGATTAATTAGCAACAGGTCAGTAACATGATTGGGTATAAAAGGAGCATCCCAGAGAGGCTGAGTCTTTCAGAAGTAAAGATGGGGAGGGATTCACTACTCTGTGAAAGACTGAGCGGGCAAATAGTGCAACAATTCAAGAATAATGATGTAAAATAGCAAATAACTTGGGGATTTCATCATCTACAGTACATAATATCATTCAGAGTTTCAGAGGATCTGGAGAAATCTCTGGATACAAGGGACAAGGCCAAAAACCAATATTGGCTGGCGGTGATCTTCAGGCCTTCAGGCAGCTGTGCATTAAAAACAGACACGGTTCTGTAGTGGAAACCACTGCATGGACTGAGGAACACTTCTGAAAACCATTATCTGTGAACACAGTTCTTCACTGCATCCACAAATGCAAGTTGAATGTCTGCCATGCAAAGAAGAAACCATATATAAACAGGATCCAGAAACACCGCCACCTTCTCTGGGCCCAAGCTCGCTGGTCAAAGTGACTGTATGGGAGTACATAAGTGCACATGGCATGGGTGACTTGCACATCTGTGAAGGCACCTTTAATGCTGAATGATATATACAGGTTTTGGAGCAAGATGTGCTGCCGTCCAGATGATGTCTTCTTCAGCGAAGGCCTTGTTTATTTCAGCAAGATAATGCCAAACCACATTCTGCACGTGTTACAAAAGCTTTTTTGGAACATGTTGCTGGCACCAAATTCCAAATGAGCATATATTTTTCAAAAAACAATAAAATTTCTCAGTTTCAGTGTACTATTTTCAATTAAGTAGTAATTAAATAATTAAGTAAGATTTACATGATTTACATGTTATTGTATTCCATTTTTATTTTACCATTTGCACAGCATCCCATATTTTGAAAATGGGGTTGTACTTTATCACATTTATAACTGTGACTTCTAAGGAAAAAGGTTCCACAAACTTTTTAAAATTTCTGCATGATTCAAGCATTAAGATGTCAACAGTCATTCAGTCTTGTTCGATGTGAAATGATTAATTGTAGAGAAACTTGCTGCAACACAAAATTAGCCATTTTTATTCTCTAAAACAAGTGAACCTACATGTATACCTACACAAGTTTTATGTGTAATATTAGTAAAATAAAGTTAAATCTGAAAAAATGTGTTTCTTTTGGGACTATTTTGCCTTGTAGCGTCCTAAATGTGGCTCTCTGTCATGGATGTGCTTTAAAAATATCTTTTAAGCCAAAATCTTTTGTCAAATCTGTTGTAAAAATGTCTCACACAGCAGGCAGTGCATTCATAACCATTTTATGTAATAACTTTCTGTGAAGGAGCATTTCATCACCACCATTGTGAACCGTTCTGGCTTGATAAGAACTCAGACCACTCTGAATGACTATTGAAAACTTAACAAATTCATTATACAGAAAATTTGAAAAACGAGTGGAATTCACATTTAAGAGGAATGCAAACTCTTGGCTTGTTTTATGTTAAAAAATATGCATGCAGACATTTCACCACTGTGCCTTGCTTTTAAAGGACTCTGGACAGGCAATCCCACGAGTGGTAGAGAGCTGCATTCGATTCATCAATCTTTATGGTAAGCTATATTCCAGTTATATTCTTATTTTGCCATTTTCACATACTTACAATGCACATAATTACATGGAGTGAACTGCAGACTGTTTTCATTACAGCACCAGAATAGCACTGAGGGGAAGTTTACTGCAGAGCTTCTGTTCCGGCCTCTCTTTTCTTAAAAGTCTTAAGCTAACTGCCACCTGTCCTTTCCCTGGCCTGAACTGCTCTCTCCAGCCTGGTTCTAGGCACAGGGCCAACCATTGTCTGCACATTACTGTTTGGGTGTGTCTCTCTTTTTGCACACCATGGCTGAATTTGTGGCATCCCAGGCCAAGTCAGAACCAGTCCAGTAATGCTATCTGTCTCTATCCCTATCAGTATCAGTACCACGGTAGAGTGAGTCCGGAGAAAGACGTCGTACAACAGGAGTATGAGGCCATATCAGTAGAAAATGTTGGATTGGATATCATAGCTAAATAGAACAAATCTAAACCAATTCTATAACAAATCTAGCTTGAAATGTTACAAAATCGCTTCTACATCACATAAAACGAAGTAGATCACATGATAACAGTAGTTGCATGTATCGTTAACGTAAGTGCAACAAATAGCTACGTAAGCATTGCTCTGTGATTACAGTTCCTTTGCATAAAATAATCTAACACTGGGCCTCATTTACCAACCATTCTTAAGAAGAAATGTTCTGCAGTTTAAGAACACATCATGAATCTGACGTAGACTTTTTCTTAGGAGCTTTCTCAAGAACAAATTTAAGAAAAAACTCAGGAAGATGTTGGTGAATGAGGCCCATTGCCTTTGGACACTTTTTTTGCAGTGTTAGTGATAGTTCTGGTATTTTTTTCATATGTGAAAGAGTTTACCTGAATTAAAGTCTTTACAGTTTTTAGAGTATAACATTTAGATGGCTATGCATGTCCAGACAAAAACTACAGCAGGAGGAAAAAAATTTCTTAACATTTAACGTAAGTTGGGACCATATCGTGGAAACTGAATTTCTCTTGCTTTTTTGAAATGAAGAGTTGAAATATGAAAACATTATTAAAGTTTCAAAATGTATCATTACTTTCCAGTTCATATGGTTCATATATGGTAACTGAGATGCAAAAACCGTCCGTTTTGAATTCATTATTTCTGTGTGTCACAAGAACAAACCCATTTGCACATTTACACCTACTCAACCTACAGCAGTTTTGCCACGCCCATTCATACTAAAGTTGTTAAGTGTTTCAGCTCTGAGTGCTTTTTGAATGACAGCCAATCAGAATAGAGGTCATTTACATATCAGGTTTAAAAGCACAGTAGGCACCGTTTAATTCTAAAGGAAAAAGAGAAGTTGGAATTTAATAAAATGTAATTAATGTAATTTATAAAAATAATGATCATATTTGGTATATTAAAGGACACAAATGTTTTAAGTGGACACCAAGGGGGAAAATATAATACAAGAATTTGGGGCCCTTAGCCGTTACTCAACGTTTCAATATCGGGACCAGAAAAAAAAGTGATATCGTACCATCTTTAAATAAGATGAACACATCAGTCTTGTCTGTTGAGGACGGTGCTATAATAAGTTATATCTCTGTGTGTGGCCGTCGTACAGCAGAGACGGAGGAGATGATGTTTCTAATTAATCTGTGCCGACCCTTGACTATGCTTCTTATTAAAAGCTAATCCAGGCTCTAGGACACTTTTGTTGAAGTTGATTGCAGCCTCTCTCTCCCTCATTAATTATCTTTGATTAGAGAAAGGGAGCTTTTCTAAAGCAGATGACTGGCCTTTTCAGTTTGCATTTCACGCTTCTGCCTCTGAGCTGGCTCGTCTTTTCAGCCAGTCTGAATGGACATCTGGACTAGACTGCGTGTGGCATTGAGTTTTCACTTTTCTTCCATCCCTCCCTCCCTCCCTCCCTCTCTCTCTCTCTCTCTCTCTCTCTCTCTCTCTCTCTCTCTCTCTCTCTCTCTCTCTCTCTCCCCCTCTCTCCCCCTCTCTCCCCCTCTCCCCACAGGCCTTCAGCATCAAGGCATATTCCGCGTGTCAGGCTCTCAAGTTGAAGTCAATGATATTAAGAACTCGTTCGAGAGAGGTGAGTGGTAAAGTGTTGTCACGGTGTCGAGCTCACAGCTCTCAGAGCGCTAACATTTTCTAACATAGTAATGATTGTGTTATATAAGTGTACTGGCTCTTATCAGCCTTGACTCACACGCAGAGTGCATACTATGAGTGAAGCTTACAATAACTGCTCAGCCTACAGTAATATTTCCTGCTTTCTCTGCCATCACTGTGATTATTTTGTGCTTTAATGTGACAGATTTATGCATGTATAAATACTGCTGCCCTTGTAACAAAGCCTTGTGTGTCCAATTTGGTAACTTTTCAGCAGAAGGGAAAATTGCTCTAAACTGTGATACAAGTCAGTGTAACAGGATTTTACTCTGAGCACTGTTGGACCATTTCTTTTCATATTGATCCATTTGTCATGAAACATTGGCACAATAAAAGGTGGTGTTTTTTTTTTTTTAATGTAAAAAAAAGAAAGAAAAAAATTGGAGATACAAGGTTTGATATGATGCCAGTGCATTGTTTCCATATTGTCATTTATTACTTAAGACAGATAGGAAATTGCATTAAGCCTTAGCATTATGCACTTGTTGATGGAAGCACCTCCTGTGGTTAGGCAGTACAGCACATCTGCTTAGATTAAATATAAACAGTGAGTGCTGAGTATATTATACTAAACCATGTTGTGTCTCCCAGGTAACGACCCTCTGACAGATGACGAGAATAACCATGACATTAACTCAGTGGCGGGGGTTCTCAAGCTGTACTTCCGGGGTCTGGAGAATCCCCTCTTTCCAAAGGAGAGATTTAATGAGCTCATCTCTTGTGTCAGTAAGTAAATGCCTTTGACCTGTAGACCAACCTTTCACCTATAGACATGGCTGCAGAACTGTATGTGTGTTTGTGAATTAAGTAGGGATGGGCAATATAACAGTATGATAAATTATATCAAAATACATTGTTCTTTTAGAACAATGAATAGCTGTATATATCATATGAAAATATTTAAACCACATATAAGGAGCCAATAAACAGCCAGTATATAATAACCGCATTTACTTAATTTACAAATTTATAATGTGCTGATATCATTTTTTGCCAACTGTTTATTTTCTTAAACAGTTTATCCTTGTACTCAGCTTTTCATAGCCTTTTTTTGTTTTTGCTGTTTGCAATCTCAAAAGAATGAAATATTTGATACATTTCATATCATTAAAATGTCTTTAAGTAACGTAAACTTTTTGCCATATTGCCCCCTCGTAAAATTACCACCACACACCAGACACAACACACAACATAGTACAACGTACGTCAGCGTCAATCATCAGTGGCAGTGTGTTGACCTTCATTTGAAAATAATGATTTTAAATTTTTAGGATGATTTTTGTGGTCCTTATTTATCCAGTCTGCTTCGTTTATGGTATGTGTATGTGCTAACATAGTCATCATTACTAAAGACTTTCATTCATTCCCTCTGGAGGTCAACATTCTTTGTGCTGTGCTTGTGTTCTCACACTGAAGGCTCACAGTAGATAAAGAGCAGGCCGTCATTAGCTCTTCACTAGAGCAGTAACAGTGGTTTTCTTCAGTGTAAGTTCTGAAGCTTTCCTTTAACACTGGCTGCTTCACACAAACTGCTCTATACAGCAGTGTGTCAAGCCATGCCATGACACATCCCAGCGTCAGCTCAGCTTTGTGCTGGAGTGAATAGTACATTGTTGAGTTGCGTGTTTAAAAGGACATAGTAATTGCTATACATCAGCGTGATCAGAGAGGCTTTACTGTGTACTTATTGATTTGGCCATTACTTAGTGTAATGGAAACTGTGTTGTGGCGGAATTGGACTTTACTGGACAAGAGGGAGAGAGGCGAATGTGTATGTGCGTGAGAGGGAGAAATGTTTGCATGAGGAACTGCGTGCATGTATTTTTGTACATTTTCAAGACAAAATGTTCTGATTCTGAAAAAACCAAACCAGAGAAAAACAGAGATAATCTTCAGTGAGTTATCCTGACTTCATAAAGTGATTTTAAACAAAAGCTACATGTTTCATTTGTTTAAAACCAATTTTCTGATTTCTTTTCAGTTACTGAGGTTATAGTTGAAGTAAGGTTTAAAGTTGGGCTCAAAATTCTTATTATGGAAGGAAAAATATTCCAAAATTTAATGTATGTACATGTAATGAGAGTTTATTCCAAGCATTTTGAAACTTTTTTATTCATATTAATCTGTTTGGCATAAAATGTTGACACAATGTAAAGTACGGTTGCCTTACATTCTTAGATGTAAATAAACTTTAAATTTTCATTTTTTATGATGAATGGGCCAATAGAAATAGTCCAAAAAAACTTTCTATCACTTTGGAGAAACTTCAGATGTATACTTGGACAAATACAGTTCTTACTAGTACAAGCACTTATTACCAAGATTTATATATATATATATATATATATATATATAGAGAGAGAGAGAGAGAGATAGATAGATAGATATAGATAGATAGATATAGATAGATAGATATAGATATATATAGATAGATAGATAGATAGATGTATATATGTTTGTGTGTAAGCAGCTGTGCTTCAGGCTGGGGCTGTGGATGGTTTGAAGGGTCATACTAAAAAATGCTTTAATCATTTATAGCACTGGCATGATAATAACATGTTAAATTTAACAGTGTCATTGTTATACTAGAGCTTTTCTGAACAAATAAATGTTAAAATGTTTCTCAGGTGCCTAAACCTTTTGTACAGTACTGTATATAATACATATGGGCATATACATGACCACACATTGTGACATTATATAAAAACAAATCTGTGTGTGAGTGTTACAGGCACAGCACGTGTTCTGTAACAAAGACCGGGTGTGTCAGCTGGTCAGTCAGTGTGACTGATCGGGATTCCCTGCTGTTTACATTCCGCTCTCCTGCCCGCTCTTCACACTGCTCTCAGAGTGTGTGCCTGAACCCAGTCCGCTGCATACCACACACTCCTCCCTCACACACACTCATCTTCATTCTCTTCAGTGGATTGTTGAGATGTATGACCATTTTAGACCAAATTAATTGGCATTAAAGATAATGTTCACTCAGTCTTTCAGTTTTTAACTCCACTCAGAACTACATCTTTTCTCTCTTGTCACAAATTTGTAACGGAAAAAGTCAGCAGCCCTTAACATTGTGTGAAAATGTTATGAAAAAAAGTTCAGAATTACTTGTAATAAAACCATAAAATATTTAATTTTTACAGTTACAGTATGACAGATGTTTTCTTTCTATATTGTTATTAACATTTCACACATTTGTAGTAGTAACTGATTAAAATGTATTACAATTAATAACTGAATAATAAAAACCTAGTTTAAAGTGAACAAACATATTTTCTGTATATTTTAGAGAACTATGTCTCTGATTCTCTAAAACTTCTTGCATGAATGCATGCACATGAAGCTTATATCTCTTTCATTTAAAAGCCCTGCTCTCTCCACTCTAAATATATGTAGTCAGAGTTGTCTCAGTCCTGTGGCAGAGATAAACCTCTGTAGTATATCTTGTCTGTCCCTGAAATCTGAGTAATGCCAGGCATGTGCAGCATCTTTATATAGTTTCTCCTGGCTGGCTGGGGAGCAGCTTTGGAAGGCCAGTTAGGTACTTGTGTAAGACAAAATAACGTGGCATGGCGAATTCCCAAAAGCTCAAGCGTCAGTCGGCACAGAGAGGAGCTTGTTTTTTTACAATGACATGGCTATTTTAAGCTGCTATCAGCGGATGAAAGGATCTGCTAGGGCAGATATGGATGAGTACAGATCCCATCAGTCTGTTTGTGTGCGGGTGCGCTGGGATGGAAGTTTAGCAGCGCTTGGGTTTTTGTGTCTGGTAATTGCTAAATGTTTTTTCAGGGCCATCAAATAGGATTGGATCAGAAAGCTGCACCTCTAGCTGCTTTTAATCTGGCAGCTTGACACCACAAAGCCACTGCAATGGGCAGAGATGACAAATGAAGAAATAAACTTTGGAAGCATGTGTTAAAGGGCCCATATCACGGACTTCTCCCTGCATTTTTAAAAGAAATTATTTCAGATAAAACATACTTGTCACATCTCAGTCCATACTGTCTATATATGGAATTTAAGCCCCAAAACAGCCTGTTCTGAATTCATTGTTTAGTGAGGTCACGAAAATCAGCGCATTTTCAAATATATTTATTCAGTACATGGCAGTCTAGCCCCACCCATTTAGACATGTTTTATCCCAGACTGCTTTTTTTGAATGAGCCACAATACAGAGCAGCCAATCAGAACAGAGGTCATTCACATAAATCAGTCTTAAAGACACAGCACCAAAAACACCCTGTTTAATCCTAAGAGATCAAACAATGTTAGAAAATGGTCATGCAAGAATGAATTATGACTGTTTTTGTTCCATGAAACCACTCAAACATAAGTGGATGAAAAGCAAGAAAAATGATAGATATGGACCTTTTAAATAAAGAAGTTAATCTCTTTCATAGATTTGTACATATTGTGGTTGCCAGAGTTCAACTCTGAGCTGTCTTAAGAAATGAAGTTCATTAAGCTCCCGGCCTCGCCTCATTGCCTGCTGTATTAATCAGCTTTATTAAAGCCATAGAGGAGGTTTGGGAGCCGGTGGTCGAATTAGAATTAATACCAGTGAATGGCTTAATTTATTAATCACCTTCCTCAAAAAGAGCATTTGTGTAGTGCTGATTGGCAGAATCATGAGATAATAAGACTGACTGTTATACTGCGTCTGTACAAACATCCTGTGTTCAGAGGAAAACATGTCTGTACTCTGCATGAAGGCATGAATGACTGCATTTCAGTCTGGAATATTAAGCAGTAATATTGGGCTGACATGCAGCATCAATGAGCTGAATTCATTGTTCCTTTTTTTTGAGGTAGATAGGAATTATCTGAATATATTTGTCAAAATATGTAAATTATTCACTTAGGACAGGCACTATAGCAGCAGCTCTCCACACATTTTTGTGTTTTTCTTACTCTTAACAGATCTGAACCAGCATAGGAGCAGCTTGCTGATTGGTCAGTGAACTGAATAAGATGGACTTGATGAGGGAAAGCACAATAATATGCATAATGTTGGGGTGGCAGAGCTGGGGGACCACTGCAGTATAGTCAGTATAGACTTAGAAACTAGGCAGACAGCAACAACAGCAAAAAAAAGCATAAAAAAGCAACAGCATAAAAAAGGATACTCAATCTATTCTAACATTGTGACCTTTCACCCCCATACACAATAATTATCATTTGAAATGATTAAAACACTTTAAATGTATGTGTTTTGACAAAATTCACCTGACCATTTCTCAGCAGGTTGAATGTGATTTTTGACAGTGTTCTGTAAAACTTTGCTAATCTTGTAACAACTTCTACAACTGGACTGATCAATTGTATTCATACTGTGCCAAAAAAGAAACCATTTTTGCCAGAAAAGACTCAGCTTTGTCTCTAGGAGTCAAACGTGTTTGTTATGGTGTTTGTTGGAGAGTGTCTGAAGTAGGGAGAGTACAGCCTTGCTGAACTGGGGGGTGTCAGCCAAGTGTAAGAATAGTATTCCACAAGTGTGATAACCAATACCGCTCTGATTCTGTTTCACTCAGTATCACAGTGAAACTCAGACATTTAGACCACATTGATTAGAATTCAAATACTGGAATTGCAAATAAAGTGTGGATTTACAACACAATAAACACAAGCTGAATACTATGGTAAGGCATTTAAATACTGCTTTAGTCTGCTGCGCCCTGTCCAGTTTGTGATTACTGTGGCATAAATCCCAGTCACAAATCTGTGGCTGATTATGAACAAGCAGACACGTTATTTATAGCCAGAGTGGTGGCCATCAGTGAGTGGGGCACATTCAGATGGAGAAGTGGTATTAGATATGCAGCAGCGTGGCTAAGTGCCATGGCTGACACATTTTAGCACAAGGACGAGACTGAATAATCATCTGTGAATGTCACCATGACGGGGCAGACTCAGAGTGTGACTCTGTCCTTTTACCTCACTTTTCACAGACAGTATCATTGCTTTCTTTTCTATTGAGAAGGCAGTGCTTAAATGCTTAAATAGCTAGCTGACTTCTGTAATCAGAGTTCTTGACAGATTTCAGTGACAGTAGTGAATAGTGTGTGAGTAACATTGAGTAGAACAATAACAAGAAATAGATCTTTTTTTTTCCTTAAAGAACTGGACTGTAGTGTAACTAACCAAAACTCTTATCTGACTCACAAGCAGTGTATTGTGTCTCACAGTAAAAATGAAAATGAAAGTTGATTCATCCAGATTTTCCTGCACTACTTAAAACCTGAAAAGATTTTTTTTTTGCATCCCTTATGTTATTATCAACCATTAGAATTCTTGTGGGGTGCCGGCAAGCCCGCTGTGCAAGTTTTATTAAAATGATTGCCAAAAGTCGATTGTTTGTCGAGAGAGAGATTGGGTAAAATGTAGTAGATTCTTGATACTTCAGCGGAAAAGACGAGTGCTGAGTGATTTCTCTTCAACTTGTGGCTAACTTTCAGTGGTCCAAGCAAAACTAGGCCTCCTAGGCTCGTTTAAATTATATACATTTTCACTGGGTTTTGATTTGTTCAGCATTTACTTGCAGAAATCTAGCATTTCACTGCATCATTTCATCGCTTTAGTTCTGGTTGCCAATGAGAAAAACAAAGTGTTATAACCTTTTTTTCTAAATGCCTAATCTTGCAGAATATCCTGCAAACAGACTGCAGAGGGAAGAACAGAGCTTCTAGTTCCCCCTATAGGTCTATATAAAAAGCACCTGTGAAGACCATGTCAATATATTTACATTGTTACCTGGAAAAAGCATGCATGTTTTTTCTTTTCAGAATTTCATAAGACCTATTTGCACTTATGTTTTGTGTCACTCTGTTCATATTTTAAAATAATTTGAAATAATGTTTTTTTTGTTTGTTTTTTTTGTTGTTTTTTTTGGTTATTCTGCATCCCATTGTTGTGTAAATGATACCTACGTCTAGTTTAGATTCTGCAGATTCCTTAGACATGCAACACATACTACAGTCAGAAATGGATTTACTGTGAGCTTAAATATAGTAAAGCAAAATACGCCCAGGAATGGACTGAGTCTCTAAATTGAATAAAGTATCATTACGGGGAAAAAAACATGCCAAAAATAGTGTGTGTGTGCTTCTGTAAAGCTTGAATTATTAAAAAGTCAGAGCAGTCACATCAAAAGGAAGGTCGTAGTGATGAAGATGTGAGGACAATAGCAGATAATTCACTTGCATCCTTGAAGGACATATCGTTTACCAGGTTTTGAGTTAAATAAAATACTCTTTTAGTGCTTCAGTCATTAGATTCATACACTCAGGGAAGAGGTCTGAATCACAATGTTGTTCTTCCACATGTTCTGTGCAGTTACACATTTCCAGCAGAGAGGTCTCCACATCTCCAAAACTTTAGCTTAAATGTTTGTATTTTCAGTTTCTATTTCAACACCGTAAAAGTTCAGTGTTTCAAATGAAAGATGTGCTTTAAAATGTTCCGATGTAATACGAGCTACAAGCTTAAAATGTTAGTTCCAAAGTAACATACTAGCCACAAGTAGTCATGATACAATGGGACACTACAATATATGGTGATACAGTTTGATGCACACTATATGTTGTGATACAGTTTGATGCACTGCAATACATCAGAATACATTTATATTGTTACATCTTTACCTGACATCCATTGTCATTATTCATTTTTTTTTCTGTGTCATACCTGTAGGTTCCTTGCATAAGTTACTGTGTTATTATTAGCATCATTAGTGTATAAGGTAGGTATGCGCTGACATATCAAAGCTGATGACTCATGTAACACCTCCACACGAGGCCTCCAGATTAAAAATGTAAAGAGCTGCCACAGGCTCTGCTTTTAAGTGTCACGCCACGCTGTGTGGAACTAAAACCCAAAGCTCACGCTTATGAGTCAGGGTTGATCGCAGGTTCCAACTTCTCTAAAGGCTCAAACTTGACTTCTTAACTGGGATTTTAGGCTTGTTCTTTTTCTCAACTCTTCAGCTCAAAGAGTTTGCATAGATTGTGTTGTGCATGACCTGTTCTCACTGCACTTCTCTCTCTCCTTCTCTCTCTCTCTCTCTCTCTCTCTCTCTCTCTCTCTCTCTCTCTCAGGAATAGATAACCTGTATGAGAGAGCGCTGTACATTCGTAAGATCCTCCTGACAGTTCCCAGATCTGTTCTCATCGTCATGCGCTACCTCTTTGCATTCCTCAACCAGTAAGTCTGAACATACATACATTACCTCACTCCATACAGGACACATACACAGAGTTACCAGTTTATTAGCTACACAACAGCAGCATTGCTGGGGTTTTTAATGCTCTGGGCCACATATATTTACATGTGCAGCCACAGCGCAAAACGTGACTTGATCCACCCACAGCACACACTCATAATGCCTCTGACATTTAATATTTGATTTATTAAGCCTGTAGCTAATGACACAACCTGCGTATAGGGCCACCTACCAATTCTGCATGCTTGTGAGGTGCAGAGTTTAAAAGGCACAGTGAAAAAGTGGAGCTGTCAACAAGCTTATTACTAAAGTGAAAGAGCAAGTTCAGTGAGGAAGAGAGCCGTGTTAATAAATGGAGCTTTTCCCCCCAAAATATTCTACAAATGTATAATTCTGTTTCAGTTCAAAAATGACATTTTGGAATTGACATGGAGTGATATGGATTGACATGACATGAGAGTATAATGCAATCGCATTAAGGCACAGTTTGCACAGTGCCTTCTCAGATACATAAATCTGGCCCTGAGAGCTGGGATAGTGGCAAATGTTTTTAAGCGTGTGTTCTTGGCCTCTGCTTCCACTGTTAAAAGAAGTCTTCCAATAACACACCTTTGAGACAGTACAGCTAATTTATGCTAGTTTTAATTCCAAGCAAAACTGGCCACTGCTAGCTGCCCAAACTTCAGTAAATTTGAGCAGAATCAGCTGCAAGTCTAATTTCTCCACCTATTTTTTAGGCAATGTTTTTTGCGTGTTCCTCTCTCAAATGTAAATGCATAAGAGAGAGAAATGCGTCTTGTGTTTTTCCATGTACATGCCACATAAACTGCAAGTTTAGGCTTGCACACCAGTTTCATGCATAACATGGAGGCAGGATGCGTCCTGTTTGCACCTAAAATCGCCCCGGTGCCCTTACTGGCCACTGTTTTAGATGCACCTACCTTTTCATTTCACTTTGTAGGTTTACAGTTAGAGACTATAGCTCACCTTTTCCATGTGCAATTTGTGTTAGTCACCTCATCATTCACTCATCTGTCACTCATTTGTGCCTCTGGCAATGAAACTTCTTGTTGCCAAGAGGTGATAGTTTGTAGCTTTGTGGGTTGTTCAGTATGCCTGATAATTCTGCAAGCAGTGTTGTGCTGTGGGCCTGCATGGGTGGAGGTATGTGTGTTTGTTGTTGTAGGCTTTGTGTAATTTCATGAACTGTGTACAAATTTTATTATTTTATTTATTTATTTATTTGTACCACTCCTAGAGGTCAGCACTGGTGAGCAGTGTTTATTTAAAATCTAGCGGTGTTTCTCATCTGTTGGGAGTTTCCAATAGCTAGGAAGCAAGAAATCAGTAATCGTATACTTACAAAGTGCACCTAAAGTACCTGATACACTGGCAGCTTGTTGTATAAACATTCGTACATAACATATGAAATGACATCTGCATTGCACTGTACAGAAACTACCGCAGAAAGTGCTACATAAAAATGTATAGTTTTTTCAGAATGATCATTAGGATCAGAGATATTTCCACTCACTGACCTGGATCACAAAGACACTCATAGCAACACCCAAATGTAAACTACAGGGTATGAAACAATGACATCCAGCAGCATCAGAGGCTCCAGCTGTGCTGCTCACATTAATGGTTCACTGAGGTGGAGAGAAAACAAGCCCTGGAAGCCCTGTATCTAACTGTTCTGTTCATGCACCCACAGCGTCTCTGTTTATCCTCAGTCAGTCCGGCTGATGAGCAAGGAAGAGAGGCGCTCACTGTGAAATACTGATGTAATTTGCCAGGTTTCTGCAGTCATAACCAGCTTTCACTGAGCCACATGTGTCTGTTCCATATGAGTACAGTTAAATCAGTTATTCACACAAACAAATTGATATGTTTAGTGAGCCAGTGTCTTTGATGTGGCTCAGCCAGGGGAGACCACCTCTAACACTTTAGTTTTTATGAATTTTAAGATGGCCAGATGAAAAGGGCTGTTTTTGAAAGCATGACTTGGCCAGACTTAATGCAACACAACAGGAGCGAAAGAAAAAACGTGCTGCTTTTATTATCATACTTGGTCAATAAAGAATTACTTTGGTGAAAAATCAAATTTACCCAAGTATAGTTGATCAGCCAAGATGTATTTAGTATCTGAAGTTTGCTTCTTTAGTTTTACACTGGATCTATGAGTAAACTGTAGCTAAGACTAGAAGCTTATTAGAATCCCCAATCAGCATTGTTTAAACTGCATACTTAATCATCTCACGATTGCCTCAGACTACTTAGAAATGTTAAGTAATCTCAGATAGACTTGCATTTGTGGTTTCTGACTCTGTATGACACTATTTATCTAATCCCATTTCCAAAAAAGTTGGGATGCTGTAAAATGTAAATAAAAACAAAATGCAATGATGTGCAAATAATTTAAACCCTATATTTTATTGAAAACAGTACAAAGACAACAAATGTTGAAACTGAGAAATTGTATTGTTTTTTGAAAAATATATGCCCATTTTGAATTTGATGCCAACAACACGCTCCAAAAAAGTTGGGTAAAGATGTGTAATGCTAAAAAAAACACCTGGTGGTTAATTGGCAACAGGTCATTAACATGATTGGGTATAAAAAAGAGAGGCTGAGTCTTTCAGAAGTAAAGATGGGGAGGAGTTCACCACTCTGTAAAAGACTGCACAATCAAAAATCAAGAATAACATTTCTCAATGTAAAATAGCAAAGAACTTTTGTTTATAAATAATATTATTAAAAGATTCAGAGAACCTGGAGAAAACTCTGTAGGCAAGGGACAAGGCCAAAAAACAGTATTTGCTGGCTGTGATCTTTGGGTCCTCAGACAACACTGCATTAAAAACAGACATGATTCTGTAGTGGAAATCACTGCATGGGCTCAGTCTGTGAACACAGTTTGTCGCTGTATCCACAAATGCATGTTAAAACTCTAAAATGCAAAGAAGCAATTATATATATAAACAATACAATTTTTCAGTTTCAACATTTGATGTTGTCTTTGTAGGATTTTCCTTTAAAAATATGGTTTACATGATTTGCACATCATTGCCTATTTTTATTTACATTCTACACAGTGTCCCAACTTTTTTGGAAATGGGGTTGTATAAAAATGGACAAAAGTACACTAAAAACAGTAGAGGCAGCCCCCTTGATGCCTAAATGTCTCTGTTTTTGTTCATTTTTACAACATTGGGATGATGAGCAGTTTTGAAAACTTGATATATTGTCACAAATGAATGTCAAATATCATTTTTTAAATTGTTTGTATGTGTTTATTAGAGTTATATGCAGAATATCTGGGAGAGTTTCCATTTGTGCCAGAGTTGGGCGACAAAGCTGTCCCCCAAAAAAAGCACCAACAAGGCACATCAAGTTTTAAAAGAGACACTGTCATCTTTCACACCAAAGCTCATGGTTGCTATAATTAATCATGAAAACTGTAATTGTGCATGAAACACAGTGATGGCGTCTCCTTGTGTACCAGCACTCTAGTGCAACACGCACTCACACTGCATTTCATTACTGTGTGTATAAACGAAGGAAAACCATTTATTCTTGTTGATTAGTATTATTCTTTCATAGCAGCTATGCACATATGCCTGTGATCTGATGACTCATGCAGGACTCTCTCTCTGTGGCTTTAGTATGTGTGCATCATTGTGCTTCTTGCTGTGTGCCTGCAGCCTGTCCCAGTACAGCGACGAGAACATGATGGACCCCTACAACTTGGCCATCTGTTTTGGCCCCACCCTCATGCCCACCCCAGACATCCAGGACCAGGTGTCGTGCCAGGCTCATGTCAACGAGGTCATCAAGACCATCATCATCCACCACGAGACCATCTTCCCTGATGCCAAGGAGCTGGATGGTCCCGTGTATGAGAAATGCATGGCAGGAGGAGACTACTGGTGAGAGAAATGTATTAAGAGATGAGACTCGTCCTGGGTGGGTACTTGGTGATGTTGGCACTGCTCTGTCTGGACAAGTGAGAGGAGATTAGAGCACAGAGTTGCCAGGAGGTGGGGCTTGGGTCATTACTTTCTTAGGTCTGACTGAAAATGTGTTCTGGGCTTGGAAAGCTAAAGGATCTGACTGTGAGCCCAGTACCTTGATAATTTTGTTGTATGGCTTTAAATATTTTAAAGAAGAAACTCCAGAATTTTCCTGTTATAGCATATTTTTTCCAGTATAGGTGTGCAGGTGAGTCAACAGTTATAAAAGTGCTCTTATTGTGATTTAAAAGCTGTTGCAGTTTTTCTGTCTGTCTTATCTCGACACTGCCGTCTTTGTGGAGAAGTGTGATTGCAAATTGTGTAAGTGTAGAAATTGTTTTTATGGCAGGCGGTTCTCACTCCTCTCCTTTCACCCCTCATGGCTCACTAGCAGCTCAACACAGAGTAAGATTTAACACAGAAAAAGCCAACAGTGTCCTTTAATCCGGTAACAGAGTTATGGTGGAAAAAAATGATTATTCGATTATATTATTTCATAGTACATATGAAAGAGGCCAGCCTGGGTTCATCTTTAGGTTGCTTTTTGACAGCCATCTATGTGTTATACAGTAATTATAGCTTGAATGTGCATGAATTGTAATCCTAAGTCCAGCTTTTAGACGTTCAACAGATGTTGAACATATTTCCTGGTTTCTGAGGTCCTAAGCCAGAGGCCTTCATTAGGGCTACATTTTGAAGGCCAGGTGTGTATATGTTTGAGGGCTAGAGGCCCAGCAGGGTCTGTGCTGGCTCTGGAGTCAGTGTGTGGGTAATTAGATGAAATGATGAGGTGTCTGTAGTAAGAGTTCTTGACAGGACAGGACTCTCTTGTTGTGAATGGTTAAATGTCTTGCTGAACTAGGTGAGACAGACCCAGATGATCATGAAGATTACAGTCATTAAAGTGAGGAAAGCTCGCCAACAAAGGGAAGGTAATTCCTCTGTGTGCTTCTTAAGGAGGAGCAGAGGAGAAGAATGAAGATCTTCTGCCAACTTATACAGCTGTGTGTGTGTGTGTGTGTGTGTGTGTGTGTGTGTGTGTGTGTGTGTGTGTGTGTGTGTGTGTGTGTGTGTGTGAGAGATGAGAGAAGTGTATCATTTTGTCATCTTAAAGAAAACACTCCACCTCATCTAGCTGTAGCTTCCAGCTGTAGCAAATCACCTGCTCCTCCATACACTAACTCACTCTCACACTCTCTCTGCCTTTCCTATTTCTCTTTCATTCTCTCTCTCTCTCTCTTTCCCTCCCTCCCTCCCTCGCTTATCCCTTTCTCTCTCCCTATTCCTCTGTTCATTACGTTTTCCTTTTTTTCTCTTTCTTTTTTCGTTATTTCTTTCTTTTTTTCTCTTTCTTTTTCTTTTTCTTTCTTTCTTTCTTTCTTTTCTTTTTCCTTTAGCTTTCCATTTCTCTTTCTCTCTCTGTCTTTTCTTCCCCCTCCTCTCTGTCACTCTCTATCGCCCTCTCTATCGCCCTCTCTGTCCCCTCTCTGTCCCCCTCTCTATCCCTCTCTCTCCAAAGAATTGCAATTCACAATAAAAAAACACTCTCTCTCTTTCTGTCACGTGTGTGGACATGCAGAGTCTTGGTTCAGAGTTGTGATCTTTTCTGTGATGAGATGCTGTGTGGCTGGTAGTGTTTAGTTGGAAGTGTTGTATGCGTGTGTCAGTGGTAATCTGTTTGGATGTGAGGGGCATTAGTGCCAGTGTTTGTGCCCACACTGTGTCTCTGACGGCATCCCAATCACCCTCCAGAATACAAATGACAGCCTGCTTTAAGCAGCACGGACACTCCGACAACTGTATCTTTACTGAGTGGAAAACATATACCAGATAAAATACTAGACGAATGATCAGTTGGTGACCTTTTATTCTTCCCTCAATCTCAAGTGTCTTTACTGTAATCTTGGTCTGTTTGAATAGTTTTAGCAACTGTTGAGCTGGTTTCACAAGGTGACTTGTGTTTGTGATTTAGGTGATATTTTTGCCGTCATGTGGGATTTGTTTTATTTAATTAATTAATTTATTTATTTATTTTGTACAATGAGTCTTACCCCTATGCTACTGTCTTCTCCACAGTGAGAGTCCCTACAGTGAGCATGGAGTGCTGGAAGAGGTGGACCAGGACGGGGGAGCAGAGACCCACACCAGTGAGGATGGTAAGTGTCTTTTGAATTTCTAATCACCTGCATTAACATTCAGAAGGTTGGAATCATGGTTTTCAGTAATATTAAAGACATTTTGCTTGATAGATGTTTACAGTGAGCCCAATATGATTCTAGTACTCTACAAGTTTATATTAAAACCTATAAACCTGTAGAGTCAAGTCATATAAGAAAGCAGAATACATTTACGTAGACTCATTATGGGTCTTGCGAAACAATAACTTGTGACTGGTGTTACACTTTTAGAGGACAGCAGTGAGAAATGTTTGTTTGATCTCCAGCTATTTCTGTCTTTAGTTGGGAGCTAAGCGTGGGCGATATGGCAAAAATATAACATTATGATACATCATGACATTTTTACAATGCACATATGTATCGCAATATTTAGTTTGTCTGAGGTTTGACAAGTTAGAACCAACCAAAAAGCCCTTGTGACCACATTTACGATTACTATCAAAAACTATGAGTACAGTGATTGTTATTCAGTGTTTCACATACTGCAGTGTTCCAATTAAACAGGACTAATTATGCTTGCCTTATAATGAGTTATACAGTTCTTGAAGTACTGTCAATATCCGTGATATGCTAGGAAAAGCGTATTGTGATGTAATGTGACATAATTTATCACAATAGCGGTAAATATTGCCTACCCCTTAAGAACAGCTAGGGAGCAAGATGGCTAATCAGCTTGTCTTGGCTTTAGGCTTGCGCTTTAATAGTTAAGGACAATGAAAAGACAAATCATTTGTTCGTTGCACTTATTTATATTTCAGTTAATTGTCAACTGAATGTTCATGGTCATGACAATCCTAATTATAATAATAAGAGGCCTCATAAATGAAAGTGGTAACCCTTTTCTCAAGACACGACAAGAAATTACGATAAACAAGTAAGTACAGTATGTCTACACTGTAAGTTCTTGTTAAATAAAACCACAACAATTGCTATGACAAGCACTTGATATAAACGGTAAACTATTGCAAAGAATATGAATTAGAAAGAGAAGTCTATAGAAGTCTATTTGATGAAAGTAGTCTTTATAGTTTACCACAGCTTCTGTTGCTTGATTGGGAGTTCAGGCAGCATGCTGCACTAATGTGGTTGTCCAGTATCATAAACCCCTCACATTTCTCAACATTTGTGTTGACTGGATCAAGTCTATGTCAAGTCTGAAGTAGAATTTCCTCCTCCCCTCACTATAATCCAGCATGTTTCTACTCCAGTCAGCAAGAGAGCTTCACTATTATTCATGTTCACGTTCAACTTGGGCCCAAAAATCTCTGAAAAGCTCCTTTGAGCTGTTGTACTTTATTAAGATTCTGAGAGCATGCTGCTGTGATCATGGACTGGAAACCACCTGAGTAACTTCAGCTCTCCTCTGGAACTCTGTGTTAAAGTGTGAACGCTCACGGGTGTAATTGAGCCGACCTACATATCTGGGTTTATGCTAATGCCTGCCTCCTGTGCTGGGAATTGACAACAATATATTGAATTTAAGCATCAGCAAAAGTAGAGGCCAGTACTATTTTGATTTTGAACTCTTGGTTGAGTCTGGATACTTTGAGTATTGAAGGTTAAATGTACTGTCCTCTGTAGCTAATTCTGCTTTTCAGGGCTCGTAATGAAATGACCTGGCAGTAGGGGCAGGAAACTTGGGCCAGCTTTGGTCCTCCTTTCATATTCTAATCCTCTGGGAGGAGAGAAACACGGGTCTCGAGAAACAGGGAAACTTGCTCTGGCCTGCTGTGTCCTTACTAAAGCTCAAAATTTGTGCCAGTAATCTTTTTTTCTACTTGAGCAGACTCTATTGTGTTGCCATTAGGAATGTCCCAAACATGCCCCGTCTGCATCAGAATCATTTAATAGTCTAATCTGATATTTATGTCTTTGTAGATAGTATGGCAGCACTACACAATACAGTTTAAGGGTCCTTATCATGTAAAAGCAACATTTCCCTTTATTTTAAGAGTTTACTGTCTTATGTAAGTATTGTGTTTCCAAAACATACCATTGGTTCCCTAAGCCGTACGGAGCATATATAGAAATTCAGCCGCAAAAAAGAGATCTTTCAAATTGATTGTTTTTGATATATAATACCAGTATCGAGCATGTTAACATATAACACGCTGAAGTTATGAGGAGTATTTCAGCCTGGACTGGTCAGTTACAAGTGTTAGTCATACTATCAAAAACAGCCTGTTCAATTCTAAGGGATAAAGAGAGATGGGAAATGGTCATGTAAAGAACTGTGACTGTTTTTAGTGCATATAATCAGACAAATGTCATAAGTGGACCACAGGGGGGAAAATAGGTACAAAACATTTTAGCACATGTCCTCTTCAGTTTGAAGTAAACAAATCAATGTAGGTAAGATACACCAGATACTTTAAAATCCTACAGTCACATTTTTAGTATGCGTGTAGTGTGCGCAGATATGTTTGTTTTTTTTTATCCTACATTTTTGAACAAACGCTTTTATAGTGTGTTAATATTGATTCAGTCTGTTAAAATATGAATGGATTGGTTCTGATCCTGATCTTTGAGATCATATTGGGACATCTTTATTTGCAGTCCGTGTCAGTCTTCATCAAGGAATTAGTTTGATATTGCCTCATTTAATTGAATCTCCCCACAACCTTTCTTTACACAGCTCTAACTTTGTGTGAGGCCTTCAAGTCTACGAAACCTACAAAAGAACTTGGGCTAAAAGTTTCATCAAACGCAAAAACAAACCAGTGTGCCAGGCAAGGTGCTGCATGCAAACAGTATTTTCTGGAGATATACTGAATGTGTAAAACAAGCTGAGGGTTCCAGTCATGGTGAACATCTGGATCTGTCCTCAGTGTAGCTCATCAAAGGAACAGAGAGGAAAAATCAGTCAGAGCAGTAAGCTACACATAATCCTACTGGAAACAGTCATGTTTCTTGTCCTTTACTCAACAGCTGAACTGCTCATATTCTCATTTATGTGAACAGAAGGAAGTCATCTTCTGCACTGTTTTTCTTTAAGGCTTCTCAGACAGATCATATATGATCATGGTTAGATTGTTTAAATCATGATTTTATAATGAGTTCAAGAGGGTGACTGAATTTTCCAGACTGCCGCACTAATGCATGACAGAGCTTTCCAAAAGGAAGCCTGGACAGTTAACCATTTCAGCAAATTTTCACTGTTATAAGAAAACCATGTATCTCTAAAATGGTAACGTTACAGAAGAAGAACATTCCTAACATCTGTTATTGTGACATTCAGACCCAGCACAGTAGCTTTTCTTTTTCTGTCAAAGAATTCACCAAACTGTTTCATACATTTCAGTTACCTTTCATTTTCCCAGGAAGGACATTAAAACGAGTCTTTTATACTTTGCATTTTCTTTGTCAACTCTTTCCATTGCACTTTGTGGGTGTGACCCTCAACCTATTGCATATTCATGACCACCTCTTGATTGACAGCCTGTGCTAATTCAGAGTCCTTATTGGAAAGTCTCGTCCACTCAGCGGACGTCTTAGCAGTGTTCCTGGAAAATTATTTCCAGTCAAACAGGACAAGGCTTCTGTCTCTTTGAATGAGAGACCTAAAAACCTGAAATTAAAAGCCACATTAAGGTTTCAAAAACATATTTAAAAATTTGTAAAGTGCAAAAGTTTGGGCACCCCTGGTCAAAATACATGTTTTGTTCATTTTCTAAGTCAAAGCAGGATAACACATACTCTACAGAGAACACACCTCTGCACATTTTAATACACAGTTACTGTACATTTGCTGAATTTAACATATTGGGAACAATTAAAAGATAAAATGCGGCTTGTGCAAAAGTTATGGCATATTCTTTATTTTTATATTTTTTTCCAATATGTTAACATTGTGCACTAAAATGTGCATAAAAATGTTGTATTTAAGTTTGTTCCCTGTAAAGGATGTGTTATCTAAGACATGTAAATTGACTGAGGGTGTTCAAACTTTTGCATAAAACTGTAGGCTACATTATGTGGAAATTGTGGAGAGTTCACATATGCTGTGCTAAACGTCATCCATGCAAGGCACCAGTGTCCATTCCCAAAGCTCCGCCCTAATCATCTGCCTAATTAGTGCTTCTCCAAACACTGTCAAAAAGACAGATCTCATTTCCATAGCAGCTGAAACAGAACCCAAAGCTTATTTGCCCCTGATTTGTTCTGATGGCACACCGTACAAGCCTGTCATTTACAACCATCGGTCATCATCAGCTCCATATTCAGCATTTCTACATGCAGAAGATTAGTTTGGCCTGTTCTTCTTGCTACCCATTCAGACTCCATGAATCATATGCAGTTATTCATCCATTCAGACCTCATGAATCAAATATATTTATTCATCTAGCCATCAGAACCCACACATATACCTGATTAGCTGCATGTATGCCAGATTTTCCATCAGCCACCACAGATGTAGGCTATCATTTACAGGTCCCCATTCATCACTAAGCTCCACAAGTCTGAAATCTCAGCTGCCATCGTTTTACTCCAAATATTTCTGTCCTAGTGGGGTGTTTTGGGGGCGGGTTCTGCCAGCACACACTCAAAGGGGTACTCATTGCTGGTTGAACCCATGACTGCTTTGCCTCAACACAGAACTCCCTTAGGTTCTCTCTCAATTATGCCTGCCTTTCATAATAAGACGCTCGGGTCGAATTACTGGCCGCTAATCATCCGCCTTGAGAGAGTGTCTGAGTTTTTCACTCCATGGTCGTAGTCATTCTGGAAACTTTACCCTGTCAAGCAGTTATGATTGGCGGTAGACCAGCACCTCAGATCCTGAAAGTGTGTGAGCTTCTCTGCCTCCATGCATTTGTCTTGGTCCTGAGAGAGCTAGTTAGTCTGTATGTGCTTTGCTCAGTATGTCTGAGACAAGTTGAGTAACTGTGTGCTAGTCATTCTCTGTGTATTTTGCTGTTTGAACAGGACTGCAGTCCATTTTAAGAGATGCGAACCCCTGCAGTGCAGTCAGAGCCATT